TAGACGCTTATATATGTTAGACGCTTATAAACCACATTATTCTTAAAGTTACTTTCTTTAATTAGTACTTTTTTATTTTTTTATTTGTTTAAAGCTAAATCCTATTTTTATAAGAATATAAATAAAATATTTAGATACAGAATTCTTAGAGCTATCAAATAATACTATTTATAGATTTATAACTTTAATAATTAGCCTAATATAGCCGATCAAAGGTTTACTCTTATAATTCACTTTTAGTGTTCTTAACGCCAAGGCTACAGCACTCTTCTATAATTTTGATGTTCCTAATGCCAAGGCTGCAGAAATAACCTCACCGCTAAACACGGGTACCTCTTAACGCTAAACCCCCAACGGCAGGAGTCTCCTACAGGGGTCTATTCGGGGTCACAAGGGATAAGTGCAGGAGGAAAAGATGACTAAGCAAAACCTGAGCAGCCTGAGCAGCGCCGACTAACCAGATGGAGGCCCCCCCCCCAAATCTTCCAAAACCTTATGGGATATTGCCCGATGTGAGGCCTTGGCATTCGGCACTACTTTCTGTGTATATATTTCATCTTCTGCAGGATTAATCCTAGACTCCTAAGCATCACAAATCTGGCATATCATATCATTCAACATTCTGCTCCACACTGAGTACTACACAACAGCTCGCCCAGAATTCTGTAAATCTCGGTATGAGGGTTCCGTCCTCTACAGCTCGTCAGTGATTATCGAGATAGACAGGCGGGCAGGCAGGCAGGCAGGTTAGCTAGTTACCCAGCTGAGCCAGCAGTCAGTCTGTTGTATGTATTGAACATATTCATGGCGAACACATCGCCCTGCCCTACACTGCATGCATATGAGCGCACAATCAAATCCGTGCACAATCCCTACCCCCCTTAAAAATGGGTAGAGATCATAGAAATTTTCCACGTAGATTTGTGTTTTCGCGAACACAATTGCATATAATTGTATGTAGCAGGGTTGCTTGAATGATCGATCGACTGCCTGGTGGTGCTGCATAACATATCATAATACACTGCACCATAACATAGATCCACCCGTTCACCTTGACCTTGACCTTCTTCTTTGACCTGGCAGCACTGGCAGCGATAGAAACAGAAACTTGATCGTCATCCTCCAATCTGTTCGTGATTCAGCTGCAAGAACTGCCTCTACCGCTAGCTCTGCCTTCTTGAGACTGTGTACATACAACAACAGCATCAGCAACAGCAAGGTCTTCGAACCGATCTTCCCTCTCTTCCTCCGCTTGAAGCCAGACAGACTGACCGACTGACAGACAGACAGCTGACTGCCGAGCTGAGCTGCGCTCCGTCTCAAGCCGATACAACACCTTCACCATCCAACATTTCTCTTCATCGGCTCCGTCTTCAGCCGATAAACACCTTCACCATTCTGCATTGCTCTTCATCGGCTTGATCCTTCACGACAGGTCTTCTGTGGTGAAGTCTGAATCGGGGATATTGTAAGGTATATCTGCTTGCTCCTTCTTTCCATCTTTTGTTCACCCGCTGACTCCTCTCGACAAGAAGAAAAACAAAAGGGGTTCCAAGAACAGACCTCACAGCAGACCATTGAGGCATAGTCCGAGACCAAGAAGATTGGTAAGGGTGTTCACATACCTGAACAAACATCGACATCCAAACCTGACATCACAAGCATCCAATAGCATATTACCATCAGCAACTGTGCAGAGATGTCAAGCGATTCTCACAACTCTCCCGATAATGCCGGCGGCCGTTCACTTCCTGCTGACGGGACATCCCCTACCCCTCCTGCCAATACGGGTGATATGCCAGGTTCGGCAGCAGGAACAGTCACCACTTCTTCTGCGGTTACCTCCACCGGGACTGTCGCAGCGAGTGACCCCTTGAGTCCTGAAAATCTAGAAGTCATAGATGGATTTGGTCACGTCCGCCCACGACGACAACAGCCACAAACACAACCTCAATTAAGCTCAGGTACTGGTACATCCGTCACTGCCGCAGAAGCAGCCATTATGCAAGCAGCAGTCAACATCCCCGTCAACGACTCTAACACAAACCTGTATAGAATGCCTGGTACAAACATCACAGCTGATGCTCGTCGACATGATCCAGCCCCATTTCAGACGGTGGATCCGGCATGGTTGAATGAGCCCTGGTTGCCGAGTTGGGATACCCATGACACTCAAGCCGGTGAGTTGGGGGTCGCCGATCGTTTGGAAGATGAGCAGCAAGGATGGGTGATGCTAGGGAGCCAACTGTCTACCGGTGGGGGTAATGGACTTGGGCCTGGTTTCGGTTCTGGTGCTGCTGCTGGTGCTGATGCTCCTCATCCTTCTTCCACTGACTTCGGTGGTCAACAAGGGGTTGGCCTGGTAGGTGCTGCACCTAGACAAACTGAACAGCCTATCACTCTTGCCCCAATCGAAGGTGGTGAAGGACAAGCACAGCGTACACCAGTTCATGTTTCAGGATTCGGTGCTGGTGCTAGCATGCAACCACCTGCTGGTCCCCTTGGCGGCGGCAGTGGCCCGCCAGCGCCCTCCATCAACCTAGTTTCGAGAGACGGTGCTGATGAACAAAACCCAAGAGTCGGCTTGATTTGGGATTTTGAAGCTGGAGCTGCCACTAATCATCCTCAAGTTGTCACCAATCCTCCTCCTAGAGTCCATCGTTCTCCTGCTGCCGATCACCCTCGCCCTGGCGGTCGCGGCCGTGGTCGTGGTCGCGGTCGAGATCGTGGTACCAATATCAATCCTCCTTCTGTCCTCACCGAACCTGTCCATGGTGCTCACGGTCCTGGTGGTACCAGCCTACTTCCTCCCGGTCCTACGTTTCCTACTGGCAGTGGACCCTCTTTGGGCGCTACTACTGGCCTGCCACCTGGTCGACCTCATTCCCGATCTCAAATCCCAATTACCAGATTCAGCACCGACGATGAGATTCGGGATCGTCTTCAACAGCTCCCAGACCTCATCAATGAACAACAGCGCTTGCAAGTCGAAGCCTTGAATGGGTATGTCGCCGCCCTTCCAGAATTTCGAAATCAGCCACCAGAGGTTCGTTCACGCCGCGTACAAGATCTATGGATGAACCAGACGCAGTTCTTTGAGCGAATTTTCATTCGAGATCAAAATGTCGACAATGCACTCTTAAATGCCGCGTTTGTGCGACATGGCCGGCCTGCACATCCCTTGTCGAGGCAGCGAGTGTTGCTGGAAGTTGTAATGAGAGCTGCAAATGGTCAGCCGCAAGACGGATTGAGTCCCGGCGAAGAGTTGAGATCGAGGAGAGTCATCTTGGAGGCACAATTGTTGACTATGCGCGCTTGGACTCATGCTTGGAGCCAGCGACTGCCGCTAGGACATCCAGCACGCATTGATACGAATATACCATTCAACGATGGAATAGCACGTTCACAACCCCGTGTGGCACAAACTCAGGCGGTAGCAGCTGCAAATAATGTTTCGGTTGAAGAGATAGAGAGAATCACTGCCTTCAGCGACTTCATGGAGTCTCGTTGAGTGCTACGACGACGAAGGTTGAAGTGGAAGATGCAACGGATAAGAGATCGAAGAACTTGGCTACCGATGGTTTTGAAGATGCCAGGTGCAATGAAGAAGATGGTTAGGCTAACTCAGGAAGAAGAGTGATTGATTGCGTTGAGACTAGTGAATCAGCAGTGAATAGATTTCTGTGCTCAAAATTTCAGATTGGGGTTGTTTGGTGTTGTTATTATTTTTGCAAGGGTGATTGCAGGTTGCTGGAAGTACAACGAACTTCGCGGTACTCATCAACCAATTCTCGGATTTATCGTCCGAATTCCCGGAGAGATGAGGCGTTAAAAGTGTTTTGTGAGAGGGACAAGCTTTCACAACCACAATTGACGTCAGCATTAGCGAACACTTTGAGATGGTTCGGCTCACACCAACATCACCCATAAATACCACAAAACTCCGAGAGGATCTGAAGCCACAGTCAATTTATCTCACGGGACACTTGATTGCGAATCGATCCCAAGATTCCACCACAAGATAGGATTTTCGGAACGAGTGTGAGCTTTTTGTGTTGCGATCTGATACCAGGGACAAGTGACAGGGATTTGCGATATCTTCGCCGCCAATTCAATCGAAGTGCCACCTCCTGGCAGGAGCATCGCACCTACTGAATCAACTCCAATTCGTGCCGCTGCTATTCATCTTCATAATGGCTTTTGCTGACATTGGTCGTTATATATAGCCTGAAGAAGGAGACCGCAAGCCATTTCCAAGGGCGCAGGGCAAAGCCTGTTGGTTGCGGCTAACGTGAAGAATGTCTGCACAATTACTGACTCGTCCGTGGCTGAGCGATCAGCTTAGAAACGAAAGACTGTATCTGTCAAAACGTCCTGGACGAGAGAACGGAGAAGGTCGTTGTGGAGCAGGAGGATGGACAACGTCAGTGAAAGACCGGCATACCTCCGAGGAGTTGCCCTTTCCAGGGGCGTATCCAGGAAACACGAAAAAACACATATATATATGAAGACCACTAAAATGAACATCCTCGAGGGGGTGACGGGGATGGGGAATGTCTGCACAATGGCAGGCATCCCTCCCGCGGGTTGCCCTTTTTGGGGGCATGCCCGTGAGACATGAAACAAGATATATTTATATATATATATATAAGGAGATTTATGGGACAATCTGGAGGCGAACAAGGAAGGAGGTGGTGGTGGTGGTGGTGGAGAGAGGCTGGAGGTGCGTCTCAGCCGGTCTGGGACCAGGAAGGTGTCCCTATCAAAGATCGTCTGTGGATAACCGGATTTCAAGACTTTGCACTCCGTACACCACCATTAACAGCATTCTGTCTCAGTCTTTCACCACATACACACTTGTGGGTTTGCACCAGAACGGGAAGCGATGGAGATGGGATCACGGCATTGATGTGGATGTTCATGGAAGCTGTGGTTTGCCTGGCTAGGTAAGAAGGAGGTAGAAGACGGATGAGAAAAGATGCAATAATGCCAAGCCGGTAGGCGGCCCTATGTCCTATTTGGGGAAAGCGCCCAGCGAATAAGGCGGTGGCGGATGGACAATCTTGGTCACGTGAATCCATCGGTTGCTACAGAAAAGGGAGTCATAGAAGCCCAGATCAGTTGCAGGACATGAAAGGATACATGTTGTTCATCACTTGTATGCATTGAGTACAGTTATCAGTGCTCTGCATCCATAGTCACGTGCCTCAAAGCTGTCTTGTAGCTTGCCCAGGAGAGTAATAAGTCGCCAGCATGTTGATTTATGGTCTGGTAATGTCTGCAGAACACTAACAAGTACAGGTTTTACCCGTGATTGTCATAGTTTCTAGGAGTGCACAACAGTATTGGACACAATCAGGTAAGAGGTAGATCTGGCCTATGAGGTGTCTACTCTATAGGTAGGCAATCACATGAGTTTGATGATAGCTAGTTGAAAGTGTGTGGCAGAGTGCTGTTCAGGACACGTGTACACGAAAGAAGTAACAGAAATTCTGCAATGAATTCTCTGGCCTGCTAGGCCCTCGTACAGCTGGAACGGGAGTTCTGCATGAGTCTGACAAAGCTGTATGCGGCATATGGACAAATATCAAGTGGACAGAGGGGATTGCTTGCGTGTCAAAATAATTCTGATGCTGGAATGGACAATCACACAAGCAAACCACATCACACGATATAGAGACAAAGAGATTGACAGACATTGTGAAGAGGATAAATAGCCCTGTTCTCTGCTAGGAAAGGAAACTCAATCGGAACATTGAGCACTTCGTCCACCATGTCAGCATTGATGTTCCCAGAAGCGCCCGCACCTACCGTACCCATCACCCTTGTGGAAGACACAGACCTCGATTGTCTGCTCGTCGAGTTCCCAAATCATCTCATCATTCATACAGTCATGGAGCACTTTTGCGCGCCTTCAGCTCGCCACCCAACCAACAGAGGATACGTCGCAAAGGAGATGGCACAACGTCTTTCAGTCCATAACAACGCAGTCAATGGTCTTGATATGGATGCAGCTGACAGGATTGATAATCTTGTGGATTGGATCAGAAAGCTGAAGAAGTCGGCCAATGTTGCTAGACGAAAGAGGCAAGCTGCAGGCCAGACTGTGGAGCTGGTACCTTTCGAAGGACAATGCCTTCGTCCAGGTCTCGAAGATGAACAGAATGTAGACGAGGCAGATGACAACGGAAATAGCGGTGCTCCGACTCTTTTGGGTCTCCGACTGAAGCAGCAGGCTGATGAAGCACTTGCCGATCTGACGAAGATGAGGGTAAACAAGGCCAGGTCCGATGCCGAACATGATGGAGATGCGGTTTCTCCCTCCGTCAAAAAGAATTAGGTAATAAGAGCTAGGACAGCTCGAATCTGCACACCACCAAGCTTCTACCCAAGATCTGCTGCTCGAATCCCAGGATACCGGGGCAAGACACGTCTGGGCCTAGTGTACATTACAGAGTGCCAATCTTGTCATTCTTGTGACTCGGGTTCCTGTCGTCAGGGGCATTTTGACGGAGCGGTTATGGCCAAAAATGGAGGTCGGGAGTGGAGAGATGGGGAAGGATAGTTGGAAAGGTATTGGATGGGTTGCAGATAGTATCTGGGCACAAGATTATCAGCTCTCAACAACGCAGCAGGCACTCACCTTCTTTGTTTCGATGTCGAAATTTGTTGTGGTAATACTACGTCTAGGCCACATTCTGCAATTAAGTCACCACACTCTCAACTCGCCTCTTCTCTCAAGCACAAAACATAAGATCATTGTCGCTGAACACAAAGGGAGAAACAAGGAATACCAGACAATCAACAATCAATGGCGAACACTCCCCATCATGCCCACAAGCACTACACTTTCAATTCAATGCTTGTGTGCCGCCCTGGAAACTCGGTTATACCGTGTCTCAACTCAAAAGGTTCTCTTCTTCAACGCTCTTCTTGCACATCTTCTTCCACATCGTGCATCGGCCAAGCAGCAGCGAGCTTTGTTCATCAAAATCTCTGGTGGATAGACTGTTTTCAATCTCGACCACCGCATTCGAAAACGACCGTGCAATCGATAACTTTTTGCCTTGGTCCTCGACACGCTTTGTGCGAGCAAGCAAGATCGTTGCTGTGAGCTTCGAGCTTTAACCCTAACCCCACAAGACGCCCAGAGTAGAACATCTCCTTGCTTGGTGAGTCTGACCTGATGGCTTAGATCTGTTCTCGACGTGCGCCACTGATGATCGGCTTTAGAGATCATCCTTGTTACGAAAGACTCGAATCAAACCACCAGAATGGCCACGCCACCTAAATCGACGGCAGGGTCTAACAAGCGCGATTTTGAGGAATATCAAGAACAGAAACAAATCGGAGAGAGCGAGGAAAGCGTGAAGAAACCACGCCTCGAAGTCACTTCGGAAAGTGCCCACACCTTTGATGATCTGTTTGAAGACCCCCCGGAAAATTGGACTGAAGATGAAGCGGTGAAGATGTGGGGTGATTTGCTGAACGATCCCGAGCCAGAAGGAGGTGCGAAGTTCGGCGGCAAAGAACAGCAAAAGTTCGGGGAGCGATATGGACAGGGACCTGCATTGACCGCTGCAAGTTCCCATGTGGAGCACAAGTCGGTGGTTATCGAACAAGATATGCCGACATTGTCACAGTCGACAGCCCCTGAGAAGACGAATGAAGCAGACGCTTTGAAAGAAGGAGAAAGTACTGTTATGGGAGCGATTTCTTCGACGCAAAATACTTCGACTCTTTCCAATCCTCAACCTGTCCAGCATAGTTCTTCCAGTGTCGAGAAGACTCTGAAGCCTCGATTCCCACCTGCTGACACCCCTCTCCCTGAAGGCATATCACTGGACAAGCTTTGTCGTCGCTGGCCACATCACCTCGCTGGTAGGACTTTAAGACGGTTCATCGAAGAGGGTTGTAATGCAGGATGGATCTTTGTCCGACTCGATTACTTTATCCGGAGAGCTCTCGACAAGCAAGGTGCTCTTGAAAAGAAGAAGGGTTGGGAGGTGGTGCAGCAGCGCCTGGACGAAGAGAAGGCGAGAATGGCTGAGGAAGCAAAGCAAGCAGGGCTTCAGGCGCAGAACAATATGCCTGCAGGATCCAGTAATCGTCCAGACACCACCTCCGAGTCGGCACCAGAAGCAATCGCACCGCAGAACCAGGGACAAGGTCAACAATTTAGAGTCTTCCAAACTCCTCAGACATCCGTCGACTCGTTGCAGAGCACATCGAGAACAACTCTCGCACAGCCCCTGACTTCCCCACAATTACCGGCGCTGTCTGCAGATATCCCTATCACGAACGTCCGTCATACGCCAGCATCCTCTCGTGAGGGCGGGTTCTCCGAGTCACAACGACAGCCTCCATCAGCAGGAACCCGAGATACTCGCCATCTTTTACCGACATCCCACATCGATCGTGTTAACAACCACACACGCGAGATCCAGCACGAGTTAACCAAACACCAGAACATCCTGCGAGACATCTCATTTGCAGATTCTAGCTGGGCCCACAAGACGCCGGAAGAACGAGTACAGGATGAGAGAAAACACTGGATGGACCAGGCTCGCTCATATGAGGAGCATGTCGTGGACCTATTGGGCGGTGATGTCGTTGGAATCGACTTTCAATCCACTAGACCGCGAGACGTGTTGGCCCGCCAGCTAGAACTTATCAGACGGGTCCTAACCAAGCGGGCACCGCATCCCGACAACGCTAGCGTACAGGATATCAGAATAAACAACGAGAAAATAGAAGCGACCTCGCTGAGGCAGCAGCGTGATGTTTTGGTAAGATGGACCGAAACCTTGCAAGAGATGTTGGCTGGCATTCGAAATGCTTTCTCACAGAGCATTGAGACCATCGAAGCGAGCTCGGGAACCCCGCGCTCTCAGGCTGCTCAATCACAAGCTCATGGCACCCATTCCTTATCACCTCCACACAGATCCCAAAGCTTCGGTACCGAAGTTTTGAGTAATTTGCCTGCGAGAGCTCAGGAGGGCCAGGTGCTCGGACACCAGCGACCTGAAAGTCGACCACCTTCTTCGCCGCTGGATCGTGATTCGACACGGATGCATTATCCTATCGACTTGCCTCCTCCCAACGAACCAGCAGCTCCTACCTCAAGACCCGAGGGAGGCAGTGTGACCGCTAGGACTGACCAGTCTGGCCAGCGTCCATACTACTATTCGTCGATTGACGGGCAGTACCATGCATACCCAGTCTTCAGTGTGCCGCAACCTCAGATAGGTTATCAAGGAATCATTCCCCCTACCAAAGCCAGTTCCGCTGTCACTCCAGTTGCAGGCCCTCCAACCTCAACCGATACCCCCAAAAGAAAGAGACGCGGTGCACCGAGGACGGTTATGTTTCCCAACGTGCCACGAAGCAATACTCCACTTTCAGCGCTAGCAAAAGTGGATAATGAAGAGGTTCTGAGAAGCTTTCCTGAGCACTTATCAATTCCGGAGGTAATGAGGCGCTTCGTTCGTCCAAACGGCGCAAAAACTGGTGGGTGGCAGACCAGAAAAATGGTCAATTATCTCCTTGGCCATGAGAATAAAAAAGACTATACAGGTATCTCGGAGAATGAGCGGCGTGCCAACCTTTCGCGATGGGTTACAAAAGAGCGAGACTCTTGCAATAACAAGATCCGAAAAGAGCTGGGTATTTCGAAGAAGACGACGAAGTCAACGATCGTTCAGAATCAACCGTCGTCGACTAGCAGCAGTATTCTTCCGAACACTCAGCAAATAACCTCGCTTCCACCCCTTGCGCATTCTGCACCTCCATATCCACAGAGCGGCTACTCTCAACTCCCGCAGCCACATGGTGGATTCCCGCAGCCGCATGGTGGATTTCCGCAGCCGCATGGTGGATTTCCGCAGCCGCATGGTGGATACCCTGCACCTTCATACGTGCAAAGCGCTTTCTTTACAGCTCCATATTCCCAAGATCAACACCTCACACTTCAAGTGACGGGTGCTCCACCTGCCGGGTACGATAGAATCATGACCGATGCTCCATCTGGGCTTCAGACGCTAGAGACTCCGCAGGTCAGAGTGCCTCACGTCCCGAGGAATCAGGGAGGCTTATCGGATGCTCTAAGCCCAACCAGCAGTAGACTTCAAGAGTCACTGCTGAATACAGCCTTGGGGGCTAATGAATGGTGTGATTTGGAGGAGGCAGAAGGAGATTGGGAGCCCCAGGTTTAGAGGAGCCCATGCTTGACAGAGGTGGATGAGCATCATTCTGACGAGAAGGAGATAGTGGAGTCGGCTTGCAAGTATAAAGGCGTCAAACTCATTTCGGCGTGTTTCTGGTAATGCATGCGCATCCTTCGGCGGGAGTGGCTGTTAAATGATAGTCTTGCAATCGAGATAAAGTTCGTGAGCTTGTTGGGATAACTCTGGTTAAAGCAGTGCTGGGAGAGCTATACAGGCGGAGATCTGGGAAGAAACGGCACCAAAGTGTTCGTATATTTTCCCCCTCAAGTCCATAGCACAATCAATGCCCCTTGAATCAAGGCCGCGCCGAGCATAACCCACCACAACAATGGGCTTAAGCTTCGCCACGAGTACACATATATCATAAAACACTTTGAGTGATGCGGCACTCTCAGGCAGGGATATATGCCTCCACTGTTATTGTTTAACTTTTCGAAGTCAATGATTTTTGAAGTTCGAATCTCCTCTCTCACCCTCAGCTCCACCGTCCTCGGCCTCTAACATAGCTGTCTGCACCATCTCTTGCATCGCTAGCCTTGCCGAAACTCGATACTGTCAGCTCAAGCCTCTTTCAGCAAAGCGAACTTGAGACAACAGACTGAGCACATCCTCGAGGAAGATTTCGAAACCAAAGCGACATACTCATTTGACGAAGACCGACGCCATGAAGCGATCGATTAACGACGTCGAGCAAGATACCGCAGGGCTCGCTGGATCCGCACGGGACCCAAAGAGACCTCGTACTGAGTATAATTATGAAGGTATATTCACCTCATCGCAGGCTTGATTTCAGAATATTTTTGTCGGCTGACCAAGGCAGCAGTACCAAAGCAGTTCCCAAAGCCAATGATGAAGCAACCAACCAAAGCAGACACTACAGTCCCAGCAAAGGACACACTCGAGGGTTTGGTCGTTCACACCGCCAAGGAGCTGCACACTTTGATCTCGCTTGAGATTGACAAGCAGAGGGAACTCCTTTGCAGCAGATTTTATACCAGCTCCTTGAGGGAATTCACCCAGGATATGATGGACTTCTGGTGTCGGGAAGCACAGGTATTTGAGGATAAAACGCTGGCACAATGGAGCCTCGATACCAAGGATATAGAGTCGCCTAGAGGCATGGTGCTGCAGATGATGAAGCGACAGTACGAGATACTGCAGAAGGCCTGGCACAAACAATTCCCACCACCAAAAGATACCAGGTCGTTTGAATACCAGCATTATCGAGAGCACGCCAAACGATCGATCCTGATAAGCCAGCTTCAAGAACTGCGGAAGTGGACAGCAAGATGGCAGCAACGCTTGAGGGTAGAGATTGACCAGCCTCGGGCGGGCTCAAGCAGACACAGAAATGATGGTCTACGCCAGAGACCGGAACGATCGGCGACTAGTCAACACAGGCTTCGAAACAACCAAGAGCATCGAAATCGGCAATTGCCTCTGCCAGCTCGGGACCAGAATCTGCCAGTGCAAGGAGGAGCTCGACCAAGTCGTCCATCAATGGCTCGTGATCGGCCACAACAGCGAGATTGTTCAAGAATGTTCATCGATTATTGCCGCCGATTTTCGCCACCCAAGACTCAGCATATCCGTACTCCAGATCTGTTGACAGCACAAAGTGACCATCTCGGTCAACATACATGGAAAGTTCAGCAACCTCAAGAGCAAGACTACCAGTATGGGCCATGGATGAGCCATGCTAACGTGCCGCAAAGTCAGCCTCAATATGTTGGGATAGACCGCCGGGGTGCTCTTGGCGCCCAGGTCTCCCGTCGTCAGGGTCAAGCGAGCGCTGCAGCGAGTCCCCTTCTCATCGGTCCTTTCAATACGTATGACCACAATCAATGCCCAGTCGATTCAAGGTTGCCAGATCTGGTCTTAGACCACAGCGACAGCTACGACTTTGATCTTGGCATAGAAAGAGAAACGAGGCCAGCCATGGATACAATTGGCGAAAATCAATGCTGCTGGGCCTGACAGCAGCCGTTTAGAAAGTCTTGATATGACTCAGAGCTGGAGAGATTTTTGAACACGACAAGGGATTGAACGGTCGAGCCGCAGATGCTCTATAAGAGAAGGCTGCCGTATAAAGGTGGAAATGGTTGTGGTATTTGTCAGCGATTGGTGTATAGCTTTATATGTCATGATTGATTGTGCAGATTGTTTGGATGTAAGACTTCGAGATGAGAATAGAAAGCATCATTGAGCCATGTTTGAGGAATTTGAATCCACCTTGGGGAGGGAATGACCGGCAAATGCGCCGAGCAAGTGTCTTCCTGTCCGAATTGCTGGAATGAGCCAGCGTGTCTGTGAAAGAATACATTTGCCTTCCGGCTGTTTGCATTTGAAATCAAGAACTTCCCTGATTGAGAGCGAGCAGAACCGGTTGAGAAGATTTAGATTTTGCCAATGTTGGTCAGACAACCATGAGCGTATCCGAGCTTCTGTGAAGAGGATCACCATCTCCTGCAAGCACCGAGGAAAGGGTGTTCTCCGAAAATGAAAACGAGTTCGACGGTTGGAGAACCCCTGAGATTGACAAGTGGCGCTGAAGCGAACGTACAAATCAGCAGGGTTGCTTCACTCGTACACTGAAATACTCGAGTGGGTGCTCAGGCAGTCTTATCTGTCGAAAAAGCCGGATTCAACAGGAGCTATGATTGCTGGCAGCCAGCCCCAACCGCTGCTGCACTCAATAGCGATCGTATCATCTGAGTATCTCAGTCTTAGCCCCACCAACTGTAGAACTGAAGAATAAACGTTGTCTGCTTCTTAGAGCGAGGTGATATAATCTTGTTTCCGCCATCCAGACTGCCTAGGAAGACTCGAGGCAATGCTTTCGTTAGCGTTATGGGTGGGATCAACGAGTGACATCTTCCTCCATGGTTCGGACAGCTTGCAGCACGAGGTTTGTCATTATCCAAGCAAAGCAGCATTGTGGTTGCAAACACTTCCGGCTATAATAAGGGCTGCGCAATTTCGGCAGCCACTCAAACACATCTGAACAACATGGTTACCGACGGTAGCATCGTTCCCACTCGATACTGACGCGCCACACTGTCAAGCTCCGACTTCAAGCGTTTTCCCTCAACCACAACAAGCGATCGGCTGCAATCGAGAACAGTCTATTGGCCTCGGTCAAGCATGATGGCATCTTGATTCTCACTTTGTGGCCTGGTGCCTTTGTAATATGCATTGCACATGCACTCTTTCCAAAGGATGCTAGAGACAGTACGGCGAGTTTCGCGTCTTATCCTCAGGCCATAATTCAGATAAGCGAAATCTTGGAGGTCACCCATCCAGTTGATATGGTATCTTCGTCTCAGCTTGATAACCGGGCTAGGGTGAATTTGAAACAAAAACTAGAACTGCACTGCAGTGGCCCCGTTGGCTTGATCACCGGTTTTGATCATGCATCACTGACACGGAGCAAATTCGGCCAAGCGCCACTTCCGGCCTGTTGACACTTCTTTCCTCGAGCTTCAATCAAGCGAATGGATAATCTGGCGAGTGTTGATTGCTGAATTCTGTGATGAACAAGTCAAAAAGTCTCGACAAGAATACGCTGAGATCAATCCGGAGCACGTTCATCATGGGGGCCTCGAAGTCTGCGATGAACCTGCCACGAGTGGGGTACTTCGTGCTCATGACGACGGGAGCAAGAAACTTGATGCCGATCCTGACTTCAGATACAGCATCACCCACACTCCGCTTCCCAAACTCATTGGCGAAAACAAGGTTGTGGACAGATTGCTCAAGTGCAACACGTCTTCATTTATTCTTTTCACGCATCACATTGGAGGCAGGATTGATGTACGATGAGAATGCACATTGCTGTTCCAGAACCTAGCCGAAGCGGGCGGCAATCTGTCCAGTTTTGGGTGGGGGACTTTGCCACAACGCCAGCGAAAGACACTTTCCCGTCCCCCGGTAAAGCTCCGTGATCGTGCAGACAATAAGTCGCCGAAATTTTTGGATCGTTAGTGAAGGTTCGAGACCGGCAACCTATTTCCGCTAAGGGCGTACGATCTCCATACCCACCAGAAGTGCTCCGGAATTCTTCACCAAGTGTTGTGCTTGATCTTTGGGGGGTCTATCGTGGACTTCGGCACCGATGACCAGAAAGGGAGGTGTGCACCTTAGACGCTTCACTGGCCATGTTGGATATTTTTGGGGGGAAAACGCAGACGCTGGGAGCATCTCGGTGGACCACTCAAACGATCTGCAAGGCGGCCATCCGAGGCGGTGGACCGCGCTCTGGAGTACTGAAGCTTACGCCCATTAGTGCCAAGTTTTCATCTCGTGAATGCCAGGAATATAACAAGACCCAAGAAAGACTGGCGAAGGAGAAGGTCAGGATGATAAATAAGCGCTTTAACACTGCAACCCACGAGGAACCGCTGGTCTTGTACCCCTTCACATGAGGAGAGCCGGAGAGGTCAAGATCTTGCACCGACTTCGACTAGCAATATGCGAGGTATCTAGGTATTCTTTTCGTGCGTTAATCGTCCCGAGCATACCGAAACAGGATGTACCTAGCAAATAGGGACAGACGAAACTTGTATCTTGGTTTCCACGAGCAAATTGTTCTGCTACCGAATTGCAGGGAGCGCACAAGGTAGAGCTTCGTAAGCAGGCCAGGTTGCTGCCAGAAAGCGTTTCATGTTTGAAATGAGGGTTGGGATAGATTTTCCGTGCTGGGAAATCGCAGCGAAAATGATAGTATTCGATCCGTGGTGCAAAGATCCGGGAGAGCCAGCGCAGAGCCGACACTGAACCTAATGACGACCTTTGCGTGAAGAGACCTCTCAGCCAGATGTTTTCACGTGGGAAAGCTAGCAACAAGGATGAACCGGCTTCGAAGCCATGGCCGGACTCTGGATGCGGCAAGGACCCGCGCAGAGATTCTTCATCCCCCGAATCATAGTATTCGTTAGGGTCATCGATATCCTGTGAGATTTTACAGTGATATCCAAATTTACCCAGCACCTGCTACCGAACATTCGAATCTGGCGCGATGAGATCATGATAATCAATTGCCGCTGATGTCACAGCAATTCGTATGTGGGGCTCTTGATGCCGAAATATGGTTGCCAAACCTTGTCCAACTGTTCTGCATTCTTAAGTTACCCAAAAGACATTCCCAGTAGCTTCCTTGCAGGATTCGTTTGCAAGGCTCAGCCAGACGCCGCCCGATATACCGCCGAGGAATATTTGGCTGCGGATGCCCAGCAGGGAACTTCTGCTTTAAGTATACCAGTCACGGAAACCAACATAGAACAGTGGTTATGCCGGCTAATGGAAACGCTCAAGGGAGCGGTGGTAGTCTGGCTGTTTGTTCGTCCAGTGAAACCGATTAACACAGATTCCAGCCAATGCACAACGGCAGAGCATTCCCAAGAAGGTTCAGACCAGCTTCGAATAGCGAGATCGCCCTACGGCTCGGATACTGCGGGCAAAGTGGCATGGTAAGCACTCTCTAGTCGTATCGCACCTCATCCGACGGCAAATTCCAGACAATCCCGGCAATATGCAAATGTTCTCACAACAAGCACTAGACTTCTACCAAGTCATGCTGCCGGGAACGACGTTCACATGCTTGTATTCATTCTCGATATAAGACGTTGCACGGAATGTTGTACGGTATTGTAGGTGTTGCTGGCCATAGGTGGCGCATCCAAATCCAGGAGATGCTTGCGAAATAGCAATGCCAAAAGTTGAGGATTGGCCTAGGACGTCATAGTTGTTCTTCGAACGGCCACAGCGCAGTTGGAGGGGGCGCTCCAATCCATCAAGCAGTAGTGGATGTCAGCGTCTCCTCGAAATTGAGTAACGGCTGGATTCATGGCTTCCAGGGATAGCGCCGGGTGGAATGGTCATATGCCTAGCGGGCATACAAGAATCCAAGCAAGACGAGAATTTGCATTGGCTGACCATCCGGCTGGATCATCACACGCTATAAGAAGAGATGACCTCTATAATGCCATGGAACCCACAGTCGGAGACTCTGGACAGAGCAGGGGCTCAATAAGGCGTACAATTGATGGCATAAACCTGATTGATGTCCTAATGTCGACTTCTTCCCGGCGGTGATGGAAGACGCACGAAAACGAAGATTGAACGCGGAAGGCTTCATTCCGCGAAATATAGTTCTGAATCCATGAGCCCAAGGCGATAATGAAATGGCATTCTGATGATGAAGAATATCTTTCGAGGGGGAGATGCTGTTGAAGGCCAGTGGCTGGATTGTTGCTGAGCACTTATGCATGCACTGCCATCGAATTCCGAGTCACTTGACTAGTCCGCCATTAGCTGGAAGTGGAGTCACAATGAAAGCCGCAGTGACGCGCTGTTGGCGAACTCCTCAATATATGTTTAGTATATGCACTATGAGCTGCCACATAGTGTTCAAGGCAGGACATGCAACCAGGAGAGTTCCGCCCATCTCCACCCCCTGGGTCTTCTAGCATGTTCCCTCCGCTGGATAATACGTTGTCTTGCACGGGTATTGTGCCCAGTGCTGTCATTGTCCAAAGAAGGCGGAAAGTGGTCATTGTGTGTTTGTACAAGGTGCGACGTCTCGGCGATCGGAAAAGTTTGTCTCTATTCGGATGCTGCAAGATACTGGCTGCATGTAGTCCGATCAAGGACTAATACGAATAAACAAGGTAGACGTTGCCATGGTGCCTTTCACAATGCTATCTGAGCCAGTGTGCAGTATTGCCTCAAAAAGAGAACGGGGACAAAGATCAACTTGATATGAGAATTATTTCTGGACAAGCAGGGTCTAAACGCAGACCATCGGAGGCATAAGAGGAACGTGGTGAAATGCGGAGTGATGTGTTTGTCGTCTCAGGGTCAGGCAGATGAGGTTTGAATAAGCACACAAAATGCTTGGCAGATGTTAGTCAGCTTACCCCCTCCTCTCAGCGCTTACTACGTACAACAAAGCAGGATGCAATGAAACAGGAAGACCTTATCATCCATACCATTCTTGCAAGAGAGTGGTCTACAGAATGCGTCAAACAACAACAAAGGATTCTGAATTGCCGTTATCCGGCTTTCTCCTACTAGGCTCAAGGATGACTCTCCGTATGGGGTAGGCCAAATTCCGTGGTTCAATTGGGTATATTACAGGAATATGTCTTTAAGACACAACACTTGATGTGCCTGATTCGACCCATGCTACATGATCTTATAGTCTCCCACACTTCCAACGCCTGATGCGCTGAAACAAGGTGCATTGTGTATGAGAAGTCCCAAAAATGCCGGCGCTATGCAACCAAACACGCCCTATTCAAGGTGATGAATCCACAATTTCCACCACATCCGCCACCTCACTATGGGGTGTTGTCACACAAGGCTTAGACCCCTTGGCTGGATGTCCTGTAGTCATACTATCCTTTCGCCGCTGGCCACGAACCGCGTACCGCACCAGGTCGTCTTTCCACTCCGCCCACTTTTCATATTCCTCTCTTTGCTGTGAGGCAAGGTACATTGGTGTTGTTCTAACAGGCCGCCATGAGCTCTGCTTATCTCCAGTATTGGTCTCAGAGGGGTCTTGCAGTCGCAGTGGTTTCAATGCCGACGACACATCCAACAGCCTCTTCAAAACTTGTTTCGCCTCCGCCGCAACGGCAGCACCACGTCCGTTCTTGATTCCTTCAAGTCTTGGCAAAGGATTGGTTTCGAGCCATACATGGCCAGTGGTGACTAGTGAAGGTGGCGAGACTGGGTACAGCAAACGATGGTTTTCGGCTTTCAGGAAACGCACAGCAGATTGTAGATCTGCAATCTCTTCCCGGCACTGTTCGATGTCGATTGAAAGCTGCTGGGATGCGCTTTCATCGAGTGATGCCAACTGGGCAGACGCCCCAGAATCTCCAATCTGAGTCAGCATCGTGAGCCTTGCGCTTGCTTCTTCGTACTCCTGCTCCAGAGCCTGTTTCTCTCTCATGAGACCTTTCAGCTCGGACACAGCTTTATCTCGCTCCGCAATTGCTCCCGTAAGTTCCTTTTCCAGCTTCTGCAAAGCTATAGTGTGGTCCTTTGCTCCTTTGCTCCTCGCTTCAAGTAATTGAAGTTTTAAAGTTTGCTCTTCGATTGCCTTGTCTTTGGCAGTCAAGGCGGCATTATGTTCGCGTGCTGCAGATTTAAGCTTCCGCAGCTCCTCTGCTGTTTGTCCATCAACGACTTTTTGCTCTTTAAGCGTCCTCGCGCGCACCGTCCATGGAGCTGGGTGGCGCTCAAATTCCAGAAAGTTCGACAGATTCGACACGACATTGAGTAGCCCTTCGAGCTTAGAGTGGAATGCATTCAGCATATCGCCAAGGATCTCCAACGTGGAAGCCGTTTTGGAAGACTTGTACGAAGATTGCTTGAGCCAACCAGTGGCAGCTTCCTGCATGCTTTCCAAGACGTTATCCAGCCTAGTCAGTTCATTACCAACCACATCTGCGCTAAACTTTTGTTGCACCTCCTGCCCAAGGGTACGTACGAACTCTGATAGCTCCTTTCCGACAGCTTCTGCTGCTTGAAAAAGTGTCAGATGCGGCTCACCCAATGTCATTGAACGTTCTCTACGTTCCTGAATGGCGTGGAGCACTTTTGCTGCGACGGCTTGGCTTGTGTGGGTCTGACCGATAAAATTTTGAATCTTTCGACTTAATTGAGAGACATCTTCATCCCCTTCGCGTAGGACGGTCTTGCTTCGGATGGATTCCTCGAGCAGACCTAATTCAAGACCAATAGAATCAGAGTAGACTTGGACCATCTCTGACCAGCTAGTTACCATGTCGGCATACGTCTCTGGCTTGCAAGGTACGGTTTTTTCTGCCAGGTCGGACAGCAGAGCGATCACTCGCTGCAAATCTTGCGCGCAACGAGCAATATCAATCTCTTGGCTCTTGGTAGCATCAACCCACGTATTGATAGCTCGCTCGACTGGTTCAAGTTCATCGAGTGCAGCGTCAAACTTGCAGAAGTCCTCAACAGTGCAGCCCATACCAAAATGGTGACACCGGGAACAGCACAATGAAACCCATTGCAGCTTCTCCATCAGATCGTAGAGCGCATACGGGTCACCCTGTGTGGTTTCCGGTGAGTGGCCCATGTTCTCCTCCATGGAGCTTCGGAGCAGCTGGGCCTTTGAAGCTATTCTTTTGAAACGGAGGAGAGCGAGGATTTGACCTCTTTCTTCTTTGAATGTTTCCGGGACGAAGTGCTGGATGATTGCTAAGTGTAAAGCAGTATCTTCAGCATTCACTTGAGTCAATTCAGACTCGAGCTTTTTGAGTTGTGTCTTGGCAGCAGTACTTTGTAAGCGCAGATTGAGGTTCATCATGGCTCGTGATTTTGCTTCTAGCTCGTTGGTTTCGCTCTCGGTGATTTGTTTGTCGACTCGTAGCTCTTCAAGATCGCTTTGAAGACCATCTAGCACCTCTTTGAATCTGAGAAGAGTGTATTCAAGATCATCGATTACCTTGGCTTGATCCTTCATTTTTTGATCGCGTTCCAGAACGGATGCTCGCGCCTCGTCAAGGTCCTCTTGTAACAGCTTCTCTGTTTCATCCTGAGCCTCCTGGAGCTGCTTCGAGACATCCGCGTCCTCCTTCAACGCCATAATGTTCTTTGAGAGCACACCGACCTGTTCTATCAAAGTGTCTTTTTCCTCAGTGAGTTGTGCAACAACCAGCTCTTGGTCTTCGGCCGCATCGAGATTCTGTTTAAGTGTCTGGACAGCGGTTTGAGAGGCTGTCAAATCGGACTTCGTCTTTTCATGTTCTGATTTTAGCGTTTCAAAGGCGCTCAGATCGTTCTCAAGCTCTTTCACATGATTCCGCAGACCTGTTTCTGACTCTTGCGTCATGTCGCGAAGTGCCAGGAGAGCATCTCGAAGCCGCTGGTTCTCCTTTTCCATTTGAAGCCATCCTGCGCTAGACCTCTCCTCCGAAGTCATGCCAGATGTTAGCTCTTTGTTTTCATCACGCATAACCTCGACTTCGAGATTCAGCTCTTCACATCTATCTTTCAACATTTCCAACTCAGCGGTTGCAGCTTCCAATCGCTCTTCGACCATCTCTTTATCCAGTATCGCCATTTCTACTTCAGTACCACGCTCTGCGTCAGCTTTTTCGATCTCCTCTACTCTTTTTTCCGAGTCTGCCAGCTGCCTGCGCCATTCTGTAATCTCTTGTGACTGAGTCTGGCACTTTCGCTGCAGCCTTTGCATGGTACTTTCGAACTTGTCTCTTTCCGCCTTTAGAGTATCTAAAGCCTTGATCCTGTCTCGGTCCTCCATTCGCTTCTTTTCCATAATTTTGTACTTGACTTTCATCTGCTCGAGTTCCTTCTGGAGGGCGGGAGAGTTATCCAGCTTTGCTCGAGCAGTCCCCAGGCCGTTGGTCTGGAGCTGCGGACTTGGAGCCTCCACGCCTTCATCTGGAGGAACGTTAGAGGGAGGCTCGGCAGCAGCAGGCTTCTGGACACTCTCAACATGAATGCCTCTGCTCTTCTCCACTTCTGGAAGCTGCTCTTCGTCCTCTTCTCCCTCGTCAATGGATGGTGACATCGGCGTCTCTTCACTTGCCAGGCTCCTTGTTTGCGACTGTTCTCGGCCAGTCGAAAGACCCTGCCGGTGACTTGCTATAGAAAGTCGCGCGCCGAGACGAGAAGGACGAGCAGAAGGATCGGTTGTCGTAGATTTGTTAAGGGCCGTACCAAGCGATAGCCGTTGTCGACCTGGCGCAGTTGGAGGTGGCGGAGGTCCCATTGATGGTCGGCCACCAACACTGGGACGGGACCTTGTACTTGAATCAGATGTCCGGGGAGTCGCAGGAGTATTTGTGCGGGGGGATGATCGACTGGAGTTGTCATCATGGATTGGCGTTATTTTCGTAGGAGACTTCGTCGGCGACTGCGCACACGTATTCAGCACGGTTATCCGCTACCACATAGGCTGGGACGTACTCTAAGAGACAACCGGGACCCAGGTACGGAGCGTTGCGACCCTGGTCCCATCATACTCTGCCTCTTCCGTGCTGTCTCCGCAGACATCACCGATTGCCTTGGCCTTGTTGCGGCCTCATGTACAGATTTGTCTGCCCTTTTCCCATTCGTCTCAGAGGGGGGTTGCTCAAGGCTTCTGGTGAGGGTGTCGGGACGAACAAACATGCCCCGCTGTGGTGGGCAGACGAAATATCTCTGGCCTTGGACAGTTCCATCATTCTTACCACTGTCATCGTCGAGCTCGATGCCGATCCAGTTGCCTGTGGAGAAATGTGTGGTTCCAATAAATCGAACTATCCCTTGCCTCCCATCTATATATTGGACTCTTGTCCCGGGAGAGAGTTCGGTCATTTGAAAAGCGAGGGGTGATATGGCACATCTAGCAAGGTCGGGGGTCTATGGGCAGGCTCAGAACGGAGTGTGGATTAGCTAGGTCCTTTGTTTCCTGAGGGGGGTGCTCGATTCGGATGAACGCGTTAAAGTTCGCGAGAATGTGCACGGGCCCACATCGTCACTCGACTACTTACTAGTACAGCGGTCACTCGCCTGTCACTCGTCCGTCCCTTGCAACTCCACATACTAAGCGGATTTCGCAATTTGAACACTCATCTATGAAATCTAAGTTACGCTACAATCACAATCACTGATTATCATTGTTGTCGTTGTTGATGTTACTGTTACTATTATTCTCACAGGTCTGTCGATAGCTCTTGTCGCTGAGCTGGGCATGTGAGAGCTTCTGCTCTCGGATTTGCAACACAGCCTCCTTTCCACACAGGCTGAAGCCACACAGCACACTTCTGACTTTTCCTGCTTTGCACCACTACTCCAACAAAGACTCTCGCAGAGTCTCCATTATCGGAACGTACAGCTCACCTGAACGTATAGCATCATAGATGATGGTCATCATCGAACCGGTTGTTCCTTCACAGCCCGGCCCCTCATCGAAAGGTCCTGCTTGAGGCCCAATGGTCCTTTCACGTTTGAGAAAAGGTATCCCCAAATCATGTCGCACGTAGCTGTAGATGCGTTGACTTGCTTTTCCGAGGAAAGGGGTGGCATGGGGTTGGCAAGCGTAATCCTCGCGAATTTGTAAGAAAAGAGCGAGGGCGACTTCACAGCTTTGATTTGCCCAGACCTTGATGGCTGGAAGGAGTTTTGCGTCTTCCTGCAGAAAGCCGCAAGAGATAGCGACCCCTGTCAATCGAACGAAGATGTGACGGAACCGTTGGCTTGAGTCCATGCCTGTGGAGGTATTCAGTTCCTTCACAAAGTGGCTCCACAACAAGGAGATCAATTCTTCAATATTATGACCCTCAACCACGAATGAGCTCAACCCAGCGGAAATCGACTCACGAAGACTGGATGAGACGGTCAGGAGGTATTGTGTCTGCAAAGCTCTCAAGTCCAACGCTTGACAAAGCGAGTATAGGTAAGCAGCTGACAATTGCGAAAGCACGTCGAGTGCCATGTGGGTGTATCTGGCCGAGATTAGAGCCAACGAATTGATTGACTGGTTTCCGAGCTCCGCATTCAGAACATGTGATCCGACGGGATTGGCAAGGAAGCTGAGTTCTGACATGTAGGCAGCGGTGGCGATGTCAACGCTTTTCATCAAAAAGGATCGACTGGGCTCGTCCGCCACCAAATTTGGTGGAAGACCATTATTGAGAGCCGGATTCACAATTTCGGTGGATTGTGCAAACAGCATGCGTCCGAGGCGTTGTGCGCTCAGTCGAATCTTTTCAACAGCTGATGTAATAGATTGTGCCTGAAAATTACCGCCATGCAAGATCTGCTGCCCTTCTGTATCAATGAGAGGGTTGTCGGTTGTTGAATTGCAGTCGGTCATGATCTGCGAATGTGCCAAACATAGATCCTCAAGCTGAGGTCCTATCCACTGTGTTGAGGTTCGAAGTGCATAACGATCTTGACGCATCATGCCGCTTTCGAAAATCGACGTGCCATGCGAAGTAGCCAGCTTTGAGCCTTTCAAGAAATTCCGAATGTTCTTGCTAGAATCAAGCTGGCCTGGATGTGGTCGGACACTAGCGATGAACTGGTCAAAACTTTCGGCGTTTCCAGTCAACGCCTCAACGCCCATGGCGGTAAGCACTTGAGCCAAAACAGCCAAATGATGCGCATCATGCAAAGCAAGTGCAGCAACACCAGCAGACACGGATGTACCATTGGTGATTGCAAGACCCTCCTTGGGTCCTAGGCATCGTGGAGGCATATCGATTGTCTTCAAAGCCTCATTCGCTGGAAGGAGTCGACGGTCCTGGCCAAATACACCAGTCCATGCTTTAAGGTACGGATTCCCTTGAATGACACCAGCAATATAAGACAGAGGGCTCAGATCTCCTGAAGCAGAGATGGATCCTCGCAAGGGAACAAGAGGGATAATGTCAGTTTTGAGGAGCTTAACAATGTTCCTGAGAAGTTCTAGAGCCACACCAGAATGGCCGGCCGCAAGAGAATTTGATCGTATCAGCATTGAAGCTCTTACCCAGGACTCTGGCATAGATGTGGAAGCAAATGGGTCCTCATTTGGCCGATTTTGGAGGAAGATGTCTGATGCGTGATCGGATCTCCCGTTGATACCATTTGAAATCCCATTGCTCCGGCCACCTAAGATCCCGGCGCGACTTCTTAGACCAGGAGATTGAATTCCATAATGCAGCTGACGAACAATGCTATGCTGGAGGTTCTGGGTATCACTCGATCTTGTATCTGCGTTGCCACCAAAACCAGTGTTGACACCTATTTTTAGTCAGTTTGTTCGTCAAGATGTTCTCTTCGTCTGTGTTGAACCCACCGTAAAGGCAGTCACCTCTCTCTAGGGCGCCGACGAGGAACTTGAAGCTTCTCTCAACAGGAACGTACGTTGACTCGCTAAGGACGACTGGTATGCCATATCTAAGAGAGTAAGTATCAGATTGATCTCACATGTTGACGAGATATGTGAAAGATGACTAATAATGAGGGCACGGAGAGGTACCGGTGCCAATTGACACGAGGCTGGATCTAGCCCATGGGTCACAAGTACTCCGTACAGTGGTCCAATTAGGGACTACAGGCACTACCACCCAGCCCGGTGAGTCCCTGCAGAGTTAGGCACATCAAGCCTAAGAGGCCAAATTATCTGAACAGAGGCTTTCGGAGAAAATCGGACGACTTTCTTACCTCGCAACGGCAACCACCGCAGCCAGATCAAGCGACTTGCCATCAATGATAACCTCTTCTGAATCACCCTGCTCAACAATCTGCATGAGACGATCCCATTGCTGCAGGACCAACGCGCTGTGGCCCATGGTTTCAAACATGCTTCGCAGTGACACTGGTAACTAAAGATCCAAAGAAAACGCAAGACAGTGAGACCTCGAGGTCCAAGAGATGGTCGTCAAGGATGAGCATACCCTTGGAAAGAAAAGCCCAGGTACCGAAAAATCGGTAGCCCTCTACGAGGGAGTGTTCAAGTGGCAGTCTGGTTCTGAACTTTCATTGTAGACGAATAAATAATAGTAAAATTGGATCGTTCCGCCAGCCATCGCTTATATGTATCTGCTTTAATTTAGCCACGCCTTCGGCCCAGGTGAGCGGTGTACGAGTGAGGCACAGTAGCACATTGCCGCATGGTCTTCAAGGAATCTCTACCTTCACCGCGACCATGATCGTGACGACAACGCCGAGTCATTTCCAGTTTGCCCGCATCATCTGCCTGTTTGTCCCGGGAAAGGGCAGAAGCGGGTTTGGAATTATTTGTAGACCGGCCATCAGGACACCTTAGTATGAATTCAAGTTTTGCTTCAATTATGCCGAGTCGATGAGCAAATAGAAAAATTCACATCGAAGTTAAGAAGATTTTCTTACTACCTTGCGCAATCATGCAATTCATCCCTACGCTGTTTCTCAACCCCCCATATATTTGAGCTGAAGGCTACGCACGAGACGGGCACCGCCGATACATCCTCCCCCAGGTCTATCAGTATGTCCTACCGGCATGGTGGAAGGGAGAAGCAGAAGAGGATAGACAGCTCACAAAGAAACGTTGATGCAGTGGATGATACAGGAAGAACAAGGATTTCTTTTTGTCCGGACTAATCATGCCCGGTATGGTACATGATGATATAGCCAAATACTTCGAGGCCTTCAGAATTATTAGAGGTATACACGACAGAAGACAAGAGGTGCTGAATATATTCTTCGGCCTCGACCCCAACCAATAGAGGATAAATGCGAAATCCAATCCGCTCCCCATATGCAAGTGCGGCAACAGATGTCACTTTCAATCCCTCTCTGGACCTGAGAACGCCGTTACAACATCTTCATTCTGAAACCGTCATCAAAGCTGACCAGACAGCACCGCTTCCGTGGCTGCAACCCGAGTTAGCAATCTCCATCATACAAAGGGTTACCAGGAAAGAAGTTGGTACATACCGCTGCTGATATATGCCCTCTTCCCATCAAGGTTCACACCAAATCTCTTCTCCAACTCCATCTTAACACCCTTCTTTGTCACACTCATCAGATCCACCGTCCGCAGGATATCGCGTATCTCATTCAGGAGGGCATCATCCGTCGGCAAGCCTGTCAAATCAGACATCTCCACATCAATCGCGCTCTGCCTTCGACTTAACCCATTTCCCATGAGCATTGCATCGCTAGCGGCAAGGCTGAGTCTTGAGGCATTGTTGTTAGCATAGTGGATTCCACCACCATTAAAGTCAAGCTGAGACATTGCGCGCGGGTTGGGAGAGAAATCCCCCCCGTGGGTTGACGGTGCGGTAGGATGGTAGGATTTAGTGCCGTAGCTGTATCCTGAGACTTCGCTTCTTGCATCATCTCGCTGGGTTTGCGCATCCCACAACTCCGCCTGGTATTCCTCCCACTTCTTCTTCGGTATGGTGTTAGGATCGAATTTGCCTTCGTCAGAAATGACGACCTTCTTTCCTTTCTCTCCTGTCACAATACGCGTGTTACCCCAGCTAAAGTCATCCATATGCCAGAAGGCATACAGAGGAAGACCGAGCGAAAAGACAGGCATAGCTAGGATATAGACAATCATCCAGCCAATCATTTCCCACTTACGGCGGAGAATGAAGATAATGGCTTGTAGACCGTAGATAGCACCAAGCAGAATGAACGCTGTTAGAGGGATAACGTCGGTGCTCAGCGAGATCAGAACTATGAGGTAAGCAATGTATGCAACGGTAACTGGTTGAACAATGGTGGAGAGCAAGTCGAGGAACACAACGAAGCGCATGGAGAAGCAGCAGAATCCGCAAAGTTGCTGAAGAGGGATCAGTTCGATCAGGTTGTGGACGGTACTATTGATCCAGCGGCGACGCTGAGACATGAACACTTTCCAGCTATCAGGAGCAATAGTCCAGGCGTGAGCATTAAAGATATATTTCGTCTTGTATTTGGAGTGGAATTTAAGGAGGAGGGTAGTGAGATATCTGTCCTCGCCAAGATGGAGCAAGTTCTTCATGTGGAGGGTGTCTACGCGGATGTCTGCATAGGCGTCACAGACTTCTCTGCTGACAAACAATGGCTTTCCAGTCTCAGCTGCACGAATCCGGTACATGCTAAAACAGCCAGGAAGACAGGTCACCGAGCCGAAGAGCGACTCGAATGCTTTCGTGAGATTGTGAGATATATAATATTCGTACACTTGGATCATGGTGATCATGGATGATTTCGCGTTGGTGAGTGACGTTTCGCCGCAAATGCCAATGAGTCTTGTATCGTGCAGGAACGCTGAGACCATCCTCGTTGCTGAGTCCGGTGCAACCACTGTGTCGGCGTCAATCTGTAGCATGAATTCGTAGAAGGTCGGATTCACTCCGATGATATTCCGGATTTGGTGGTGCATCTCAAGCTCAAGGGGAGTCATTGGTGCATTGTAGTGGACTCTGTTTAGGAAGCGCATGATGACCATTTGAGAGTCACGCTTGCCCCTGTTACCGGGTCGAGAAACCTCAGATGGCTTGCCAACCTTGACCACCACCAAGAAGGGCACGATGTGACCTTGGACTTCATATAAGCCGGAATATACCTTACCCATGTTGTGCTGTTTCATGCCTTCGCCAAGAGATTCGAAGCTGAGTGGTTCTGGATCCACCGTCTCTGAGACACCCAGGATGTCGAGTACGATACGAGGTGTGGGACGATCATTGCCTTGCCCAATGATCATACCATCGCAGACCACTATGAGCAATTTACGTTTATCATCATACTTCATCCTAGCAGCCGAGTCGATAGCACGTCGAAGGGAATCCTCATCTTCCGTGTACGCGGGCACTTGACAGATGATGAACTTGTCGAGATTTTCAGGCAAGTTCTTCTTCCCGAACTGCAAAGCGGCAAAGAACTTGAATCCGATAACGCTGCACAGTAGAATCGAAATGGCAAGAAGGACATATCTGGCGAATAGACACTGCGCAGAGTTACGTGTGTCTGTCTTACCCACGTAGAACAGGTTGTCGAGACAGAGTTGCATGCGACTGCGAAGAGCTGGGTCCAGGTCAAGAGCAGTCCAGTATTTTGTGATGTCCTGCCCAGCACGTTGACGGAAGAGGTCAACCACAAGCGGATGCATGAAATTGGTGTCGACACCCTGAGGAGGCTCTTCGCCGACCGGAGCAAGTGTTCTCCTACCGCCCCGAAGATAGTCCGTAAAGTCATAAACACGGTCGTTGAGAATAGCAATGGACTGCTGTTTTCCGGCAAGCGTATTGACATACTGGGGCGTGTATCCAATATCACCCTTCTTGTAGTTGGCTTTCAGCATAACCATTTGCTCGAAAAACCAGTCGGGACGAGAATCGTTTTGGAAGTGTCGGAAGTCGTGGTATTTCTTGTTGAGATCGGTCGCGCTGATCACATTGGCAGATCCCGTGACATTGGTTGACGTATAGTCAAGCTGGACTGAAGGATCCACAGACCCGTCTTTGCCTTGACACAAAGCAGAAACTTGAACTGGAAAGAGATCCGTTGCGTCGATGCCAGCGTATCTCCTGAGGGCCGACTGAGGGACAATCGATGGGTAATGAGACGGCATGAAGGCTCCCAGGTCGAAGACCTGTCCTCGAATGGCGATATAAGCACTGTTCTTCCCTTTCCCATCATGGGCTGACAACTCAGCGGCAGAAAAGACATCTTGTCTTGGACAGATCAGCTGCGGAAAAATAACGATGAAGAAGACGACAAATCCGCAACTCAGCCAGATCAGTAGATTGATCGCGAACTTTTCCCGCCATGCAGTACGGATGTCCTTGCGTTTCATGCGTCCTACCCATTTGATTAAGAAGTCGGGAATGTAGAAGGTCAGAAGATAGACCACAGCGAGCCATCGCTTCCGGCTGCCAGAGACCTCAACTTCGTCAACTTCTTGCATTTTGCGCTCGTTGCCCTTCTCAGCCATCTGTTCTCGGGTCTCAAGATTCCGAAACATATCCCCGGAGTTGAAGGCTGAGGCACCAGCTTCTGAACGTGTGTCAAGCTCTTTGCTGCCGAAATAGCCCCCAGCCTTAAGGTCATCACTATAGCCGTAAGGCGCGCCCTCTGTTGAGTGAAGCAAACGCACTTTGGAATCACCAAAACTCTTATCGCCAGGAATACCTGGTGTCTCATCATCATCCGCGTACCCCGGTAGACCCCGGTCTTCCAGATGAGCAATGCTGGCCCAGCATCGTTCACTTAGAAACACGCCAGTGCTGCCAATCTTGGCCTCGTTGGCAGGCCACCTCTTGTCATCGAGGACCAACTGGGCCTTCTCCATCTCGCTGCCAACAATGAGAGAGTTGGCGTCGGCCGTCCCAAGGAATTCGCTGAACGGTATGAAGAAACTGAAATCAGCATTTCGCAATCTTGAGCTGATCTCCGCGATACCAAAGGTCTGTACCTGCGTCCGAACACACTTGCTGTCAAATTGATTTGCTATCCTCCTGTCGTTTGGTTTGAGGCAAAAGACAAAGTAGGAGTTGAGGTTAGGCGCATTGAGAGACTTTATGATGTTATCAAGAGATGACAAGAACTGAGCCGCAGCACCTTGGCTAAAGCCAATCGGATTGCCTCTCCTTCCAGTAACAGATCTTGCTCCAGCATTGCTCGAGGAATCATCCATGTCGTCAGGATCAGACTGTTCGGTAGCAGTTCGGCCACCAAAGCGAGCAGGTCGATCGCCTTTCCGTCTAGCCATACTGGGTTTCCTCAATGGCTTAGAGCTGACTTGTGCTTGCATGATCGCTGTTCGATCTTTCGCGTGTGTGACTGTTTTCAGCGCCTCTTGTCCAAATAGCTGACAGATGAAGTCACTCTTTGACGAATTGATGAGATTCATTAAGTCACCAGACACAATGTCTCCGTTTTCTTCGACAAGACCCGCCACTGGGTAATCCACCTCTCCAGCATAGTGCCTCACAGTGAATGCCGCAGATGTGTTGGTGGTTGCGAAGTTACTGCCAGGCATAATCGCTGTGGCTTGACCCACCGAGATAGCCGGGTTCTTGTTCTCGAAACGTTTTCGAATACTTTCCAAGAATTGGGCATCCGTCCTGCCTCTGCGGGTCTGATCATCCAGTATGCTTAGCAAACCATTCCCATGCTTCAACAGACCTCGCACTGCATCCGAGTTATCAAAGTAGCTTGTCGCTGGCACGCTAACTTCTTCCGCTTCCAGCGTCTCAGCCTTTCGTTCGAAGAAGCTCTGCAGGCAGAAATTATGCAATGCCTCTGTAGCTGTGTTATTCAATAGCTGGTCCAGAGTTGAGCCAGTGGATGCTGATTGGGCGAAACCGGGAAAGTCGATGATTGAGACCGTGTTTGCCACAGATTCCTCCGGAGCACAAAGCCGCTGGTTGATGTTCTCGATTACATATGCGACCAAAAGAGAGTACAGTGTCCTTGCAAGCTCATCCGCATTCCCACGAGCACCGCTAGGATCTAACATCACTGTGACCCGTTCTCGGTGGAGGGTTTTGGTCTTGTAGCCCAGACTAGTTTCCAGATCCTGCGTACTGAGCCCGAGAAAAGCCGCAACAATACCAAGTTCAGCCTTGTTCTTAACCAAAGTGACTGTTTCACCACCTTCATGCGAGTAACCTCCGCTCTCTTCCGCAGCAGTTGTGGTCGATTGGCCGGTCACGAACTCCAGCTGTCCAATGTGGAGGATGGCAGCAAGAATCTGGCATATTTCTGCAATTTCGCTTCTTGGAAACTCGAGCTTCCGAAGAGCAGTTTTAAAATGCTGGAATCCTTCGGTGTCATTGATACCAACCTTCATCTGAGTGGGGTGTCCTAGATATCGCCATCTCTTATGCGCCACGGACGCTGACCTGGCCAAGCCGGTACCGCTTGTCGTCACATTGGTTACGTTGTCGAGACCAAGATGAGTCTTCTCAGCGGCGCTCGTCCCAGCGAGAAGATAGTAAAGCACATGGAAACTTCTCTCGCCAGTTGGCACTGACGCAATCCTGCTCCTCTCCAGACGATGATCCAGCAACTTCCCTCCAATAAGTGTAGGATTGAGGGTGGAAGAGGCGTCGTATTGCAGCTCGAAAAACAGTCCAGCTTTTGAGGCTGTTGGGGTCGTGACTGATTTCGTAGTGGTGAGAGTATCGAAAACGAAGGCAGCAAGTGAAAGTTTCGAGGACAAAGGGGTTGAAGAGAAGGACAAGAACGAAGAAAGAAGGTGAGACCGGATTGTCGTCTTCCCAGCGCCAGATTCACCGCTATACGATTGTTAGCAAAGTCAATTCTCGTGCTCTGCCTAGCACACGTACAAGAACAAGACCGCCTGGTTTTCTGCACGACTACCAAGTCTAGTCCATGCTCTTCTTGCCAAATCTTCAGCCTCGCCCATGGCACTACCCTCTTTGCGGCCATTGGGTCCTTTTGAGGATGTTGTATAGGTGTTGAGGCATATCAAGGCTTGGGATGAGAGCCTTGCAGTGGGCAACGACACATGAAAACTAGCCACCGTTAGTAAAGGTAAAAGTAAGTCAAACTATCATGTAAGAGACAGACCGACTGGCGAGATGGGCCGTGAGGTGCGTATCCGACTGCTGATGCGCAGGCAGTGCTGGCAAAGATGGTTGCATGTGCGCAGGCGCGCTGCCAGTGAGAGAGTTCGAGGTCATGCTGCAATCGAACGACCCAGAGGCCGTTCCACGCGTGCCGGGAGTATAGAAATCAAAAGAATTGATCGTGAGGCCTATAGCACTAGGCTGCGTATTTATCTCAACATTGAGGTTTACCCAACTGTTGTGGACTTTTCCTTCTCGTACGTGACTTCCTTGATCATCACCGAATAGGGGAAAAGGGTATGGACAATGGCGAAGCGACTGGGTCAAGCGAGTGATGACCTTGCAACGAACGTACTGCTACCAGCGAAAGAGAATAGAATGATCAGAAATTAGCATCACAGGAACATGCTGTAAAGAGGATGGAGTTGTAGTATCAAAACATGGCTGCGGCTCTCCCATTACCCGTGTTTGCTTGTGGCAAGGAGAGGGTGGCATTATTAGCTGGCTGGTTCCGAGGCATGCAGTACAAAGTTTTACAATCGTACTAGTAATACCTTACCCAGGTTCTACATAGCATTTCATGCATTTTATGCATTTTCTCGCTAGACTATGGAACAGTTATTTTTCCTGCCCTCAGCATAGCCAACGTTGGAATCGAGATTTGAACGGTCTTTGAGCACATGCTTTACCAACACTCCCATACACTGCTGTCATCTCTCCTTCTCGGCCTGAGAAGCACATTCAAGACAGAACTACACTGTGCAATGGCAGCAACAACAAATAATCAGCAATAATACGTACACCATCCCAACAGCAAGTTAGTGTTTCTTAGCAACAGCGGGAAGGGATGACAACTTGAAAGCTTCTCAGGCCCTTAGCAGATGTGATCCAGTCAAAAGCGTTGAGGAGGGCGGGGATCAACGCCACGTCCAAGTCCAAGAAATTATGCTGCTCAACCCAGCAACGCAATGCGGATGTGCCCCTGAGTCGATTTTTCCAATCCATGGCTTCAGAGCGGCTTGAGAGTCTGATGTTGTAAACTCCAAAGGGAGGATGTTTGAAATAAATGACGAGTGTCTCTTGAAGAGCATCCGCATTTCCATTTGTTGTCGAAGCAAGTCCGTATGGAGTACAGTTCACTGGTAAACTAGAGACATCGTTGCATAGACGATTACGACTGCTCGGACAAGAAACATGTAAGGTGTCTCACAACATCCAAATTGTGAGACTAGCATGAACATCCTCAGCTCAGGATCGCTGTGTGCAACCCAGATACGGCAAGCGTGCCAGCCAGAGGGACTGTTTCACGGGGATAAATTGGCTACAAAGGAACAAATGGGTGGCTAGAAATAGTGCATAATCTCCTATTGCCACCCATTGGGCCACGGCTACTACGACGTACGTACTCGCAACCACTAGTTAAGCACGCCAGAGATTAGGCGGGACCAGGCCTGAAAAGGTGTCTGCAGCAGCACCGTGCTTCCGGTCTCTATTATTATGGTATACGGAAGTGGCTAGAGCTGGTTTTTTTGGTAATAAACATGGTGTTTCTGATGGAGGTTACAAGCAAAATACAGCATCTGAAATTATCGAAGGAGATGCCGCCACCATTCTTTCTGCTGCTTTACTCCACGAGCTTGGATCCACCTTCGCTTGATCATCTCTCGTTCTCATACCCAAATACATTCGTTCAGTTGGCGGAGTTCTACAGCAGTATTCTTTCACCTCGCATTCACTAATTGCTCTTTCGCTTCGGTCGTCAGGGAGACCCTCCGCCCCTGGTGACCCAAGATCCGACGCAGCTATCCACCAATCCACATACCTCTGTCGAAGCTGTCCTTCCTTCACTGATTTGACGTCCTGTCTCATCTTTCTGTGTTGCAGGCTGCTGCATAGCGTGCCTCTTGTCGTGGCCCGTTGCGGCTTGGAGCCAGAATCACAAGAGAAGCATTCGCCAACATGGCGAACAGGTTCTCGCAATACTCTAACACCTCCGCAGCTGTGGGTGCAGCGCGGTCAGCAGCACAGCAATCTACACAGGTCTCTACGACAACTCTCCTAAATACTCTACATACCATCTACACCTCGGGACAAACATACCAGCTCGATGCGAGTACCAGCTTGGCTGTAAATACTTGGCTCACAGCTGCAAATCCAAACACTGAGCAAAGGGTGGGTGGTACATTTGACGCTGAGCTCGGTCGGACTGCATGGGAACATGCAAGAAGACGTGCTGAGGACGGCTGTATTGTGCTTGCGTACGCAACCTTACCTTATTCGTTTCTCTACCGAAACTTTGCTTATCTGTTTTTCCAGATCTCTCCATGATTCGACTCCATCCATATTGTCTCCTTTTCTCGGAGCATTACCACTTTCTACCCCACAGGTCGCCTTCACTGCTCTTGCAGCCCTACGACCTTTTCTGACATGCGTTACACCACATAATCCTGCTACTTCCCGTCATTCGTCTATTGCCACTACATACTCAATCACACTCACTGGCAGGATCACTGCATTGACAATCTCTCTCTCGCTTTCGGGTATCGATGTTGAAAAAGGTCTGGTCAATATACCTGCTCAAGCCGGATATCGTGCGTTCGATGCGTTCTATTACCTGCTCACCTCAGCTTCAACTCCAGCGGAACGCGAGTTCCTTGGCCTCAAGCCAGCCGCGGAATACTCGCTATTGAATAAGTCTGGCACATACAATCCGCCAGGCTATCTTCCTGCGGCAGATGATGCCGCAGCAGCCGAAGATTTCCGCGCAGCCCTAAAGGCCATTGGTATTAGGGGTTCCTTGTACCGAGGGTTTCTCTCGGCACTTGCAGGTCTTCTGAAGCTCGGTGAGACCACCAAATGCTTAGTCAATGATGCGTCGCTCGAGGAGATTTGTGAGGACGTGGGTGGCCTTATCGGAGTAGAGCCCGAAGTTCTAGCTCAGAAATGCACAACGACCGACCGAGAGGTCTTCATAGCTGGGGCTTATGAGGCTCTTGTCGATTGGGTCATCGCCAAAGCCAATGAAGCCATAGCCAATGAGTTGCATTCTATGCAAGAAAGTACTTCAGATGACGACAATGGAGACAGCGTCAATATCACTGTGATTGAGATACCAGGAGAAGCCCTTGGAAAAGCCGTAGCTTTACGAGGCGTGTTCGACGATAATCTAGGAATTAACGCAGAGATGAAGGAAGATGGTGTTGAAGTTATCCCGGCTGGACACTCGGTCCTAAAGGAGATGACAAACGCAGTTGCGGAGGTCGAAGCAGATCTGGGCATCAGTGGAGGGCCACTTAGTCGAGAGCGGGAGCAAGACCATGATCGTAGGGAGGGTATCCTTGAAAAAATTGGAGTGGAAGCTGAGGACGGTGGGTTCTTGAAGACCCTTCTTTATCCTGTCGAAGGCGAAGGCCTCAATTTCGGAAAGAAAGGACGATTTGACCTGCCCGCGGTGCTTGGGAGTAGCAGGGTTTGGTATCAGCTTTCGCTCCATCCAACAGATGATTCGCCTGCGACCCTGGCAACTCTGGCTTCTACAACATCAGCATGGTCAGCGGGCGCCGTTTCTCGTCAGCTCCGAGCTTGGAGGCTTCCGGAATGGGCTAATCGCAGGAATAAGAACCTCGACTTCACTGCCGATTTTGACGTAGATGAGTTTCAGGCTAGGTATTCTCGACTGGGTTGCAAGGAGGGTAAAGATGGCGTCGAGAGCTTTCTGCTCGAGAGAGGTTGGAGCAACGGCGAGGTCGTCATCGGCAAAGACAGAATATGGATGCGCGAAGGTGCTTGGTGGGAGGCTGAATCCATGCTTGACATGAAGCCGGTTGAGAACGAGATAGGTCAGGATTTTGGCGGGGCGCCGAATCCTTTCGCGACCGGCTATTCTGCCAATACGCCGCATAATGGCAGTGGCTTCTTTCCACCCATGGGCGACGCAGCGAGCATTCAAGGCAGCCGTGAAAATCTGTTGGATGGTCGACAGAGCGCGATGGGTCACAGTTTGATGGGTGGTCGTAAGTCTGTTGCGCCGACAATGGCTCCTACTATAGCACGAACAGTCCAAACATCGGGTGGTGACTATGGTCTTGGAGCCAAAGGTGATGACAAGCGAGATGAGGTGATCTACGAAGAGGACCTCGGCCGCTTTACGGGTGAGCTGGATCCTGAATTTGGCGATCCGAAGAAGATCCAGCAGAAGACCATTCCTTTCGGCCGACGAGTTTGGATCGTGGTTGTCTGGGCATTGACCTTCTGGATGCCTTCTTTCGTATTACGCTTCATCGGTCGTATGAAGCGCCCAGATGTGCGTATGGCATGGAGAGAGAAGGTTGTCTTGGTACTTATCATCTTCTTGCTGAACGCCACTGTGGTGTTCTACATCATTGAGTTCGGCAGACTGTTGTGCCCCAATTGGGACAAAGCATGGAATCAAAGAGAGGTCAGTTATCACCAGGGCGACGATGATTTTTGGGTCAGCATTCACGGCAAGGTTTATGATATCTCGAAATTCTGGAAGCTACAGCACAGTGACACCAACGTGGAGACCAATGCAGCCAACATGCAGCCGTTTGCTGGAATGAACCTCGATGCTTATTTCGAACCTCCTCTCAGTAGGGCCTGCCCTGGCCTCAACATTGACGAAAGCGTTTTCATGCAGCCCAACGATACGAATGCTGTGCTGTACCCTCAAGGTCTTCACAGATCAGGCCCGCGTCTTCAACCTGATCCAACGACAGCCTTGGCGTCCTGGGATTGGTACAATAGAAAGTTCCTTCCCAAGATCAAGGAGTATTACAAAGGCGATCTTGTCATTGCTACGGATGAAATCTACAAACAGGGTCAAGATGAAGCCAGACAGTGGGTTATCATCAGGAATAACGTTTACGACCTAACGAACTACTTCTACACCCTCAGGCGCATGGACAACTTCAGGACGTATGAATTCTTCCCAACGCAAGTCTCTAATCTCGTCAGAAACAATCCTGGCACAGATATCACGGAATCTTTCGGTAGTAGTGCTGCTTTTCAGAACAGTCTCAACTGCATGAACAACGCCTTCTTTGTCGGAAAGACAGATTTCCGGAAGACGCCCAGATGTCAAGTGAACAACTACATTCTGTTGGCATTTACCATCATTCTTTGTGCTGTCATCCTGGTTAAATTCTTGGCGGCGTTGCAGCTGGGCTCCAAACGACGCCCTGCTGCTCAGGACAAGTTCGTCATTTGCCAGGTCCCCGCCTATACCGAAGGCGAGGACCAGCTCCGTAAGGGCCTGGATTCGCTTACAGCTCTACAGTACGACAACAAGAGGAAGCTTATTTGTGTCATCTGCGACGGAATGATTGTGGGCGGTGGAAACGACAGGCCTACTCCAAAGATCGTTCTAGATATCCTCGGGGTTGACCCCAAGATCGATCCTCCGGCGTTGCCGTTCAAATCCGTGGGCGGTGGAAGTGAACAGCTGAATTATGGCAAAGTCTACTCTGGTCTTTACGAATATGAAGGCAACGTTGTGCCTTATCTTGTGGTTGTCAAAGTGGGCAAGGAATCTGAACAAAGCAAGGCCAAGCCAGGAAATCGTGGCAAACGAGACTCTCAAATCCTTCTCATGCAATTTCTGAACCGGGTACATCACCGAGCAGCCATGTCGCCACTTGAATTAGAAATGTTTCACCAGATCAACAACATTATAGGGGTAGACCCTGAGCTGTACGAGTATCTTTTGATGGTGGACGCAGATACCAGTGTAAAGGAAGACTCCTTGAATCGACTGGTCGCAAGCTGTGCTAACGACGCCAAAATTGCTGGTATCTGCGGCGAGACGAGTCTTGAAAACGAAGAACGAAGTTGGTGGACCATGATTCAAGTTTACGAGTACTATATCTCGCATCACTTGGCAAAGGCTTTCGAGTCGCTGTTTGGCAGTGTCACTTGTCTGCCTGGATGGTAGGTGCATCAGCACGAAGAGTTTGACATATTCACTGACTTTTCCAGTTTCTGCATGTACCGACTCAGAACAGCCGATAAAGGTCGACCTCTGGTCATCTCAGACAAGGTGATTTCCGAATATGCTGACTGCGAGGTCGATACGCTTCACAAGAAAAATCTGCTGTCTCTCGGTGAGGATCGTTACTTGACAACTCTGATGACCAAACATTTCCCGGCAATGTCGTACAAGTTTATTTCCGATGCATATGCCAGCACTGCCGCTCCAGAAACATGGTCTGTCCTTCTCTCGCAGCGACGTCGATGGATCAATTCTACAGTCCATAACCTGGCCGAACTTGTCTTCCTGAAGGACTTGTGCGGCTTCTGTTGTTTCAGTATGAGATTCGTGGTCTTCATTGATCTTTTCGGTACTATCATCCTTCCTGCCACTTGCGTCTACCTAGGATATCTCATCTACAGAGTTGCGACCAATTCTGGTCAATTCCCCTTGATCTCGATCATCATGATAGCGGCAGTGTATGGTCTACAGGCCGTTATCTTCATCATCAAGCGACAATGGCAGCATATTGGGTGGATGATTATCTATATCCTCGCCTTTCCAATCTACAGTTTTATCCTGCCGATCTACTCCTTCTGGAACCAAGACAATTTCACGTGGGGTAACACCAGAATTGTCATTGGCGAGAAGGGTAACAAGCAGATCATTGCTCTGGAGGATGAAGGTTTCGATCCCACAACTATCCCTCTGCAGAGATGGGACGACTACGCTTTGCATAACAATCTTCCTGGCCGCCGTGGCAACCATGGAGTCTCCCAGGAAAAGTCCTATCATGCTGGCTATGAAGGTGCAGGAGGAATGGAGATGGATGACATCCATTCAACCTATTCCTCAGTCAAGCCTGCATCAACAATTCTTACAGGCTTCCCTCAACAACAGCAAGGCCCGTACATGGCCCCACCACGCGCATCCACTGTATACGGCGGTGGTCTACCCCTCAACAGAGCCTCTACCATGACCGGCCTAACCCAGTATCACGACCAACCCACCTCTCTAGGAGGCCGCCAAATGTCCATGGGAAATCTAAGCGACCGTCCCTACCAAGACAACCCGACAAGCCCGTACCAAAGTGGCGCAGGCATGCCCTACAGTGCCAGCCGCCATAGCCTTCTCGGCATGCCCACATCAGACAGCTACAATAATAACAACGCGTTCCGCCAAAGCACAGCCAGTCCCGCACCATTTGGCGCTCAACACCAACAACAGAGAATGTCTTCGAATATAGACTTCCGCTCCGCTGTGGGTGCTGGGCCCGATGATGGAGCGATCGTGGAGGTGATTCAGAACTGTTTGAGAGAGGTGGATTTGGATAATGTTACGAAGAAACAAGGTTTGTCTTTACCTTTCTCTCCACCCCTTGGTTGTGAGAAAGGGGAATGTGCTGACCAGACCCTTCCAGTGCGAGCACTCGTCGAGCAAAGATTACAGACCGAGTTGACGGGCGAGAAGCGCCTCTTCTTGGATAGGCAGATTGACAATGAGTTGGCGAATATGTGAAAGATGTTTCTGTCCATCTGTCTTGAGACGTATCTATGGTCTGTAAAGTACATAATTGGGGTTGCCAGTCATGCGCGGCGTATTTGCAAAAGTATATATGCACATATATATACTATTCATCGATTCGTAGGGTTGGGCAGATGGTCTATCAGAAATGAACTGGCATGGGGCACGGCAGGCGAACGCGCTGAACGCGCCCCCCTGGAATGATATCTATAACTAGCTAATATTATCACTTTCTTGTCTATCTGCATCACCATGTCTCCCTTGCCGTCACATCTATGCTTCAAGTGTTGGGTTTTTGCTTTGGAAGCTCCCTCCGCGACTTGTAGTGGGCCTCGACGACAGAGTGGAGGATTCGACTTGACTTCATTGCATCACGGCGTATGGTACGGTCATCGTGTATCCTCACGTCATGTCTTGTTTCTGTTTATATATCAGTACAGGATTGCTCTCCTTGTTTGGCCCCAGGAATATCTTACTAGGACCGAGTATATATCGCTGGGCGGAATATTTTACGTCAAGCATTTATTCTGTCCCAAAAATATTTTGATGGTGACTCCGTACTCCGCATTGGGTGCTGCTTTTATCTCTCAGCATCTGCTCTGTCTCTGGTCTGTACACTTGTGATCAAAACCCGACCATGGCGGCGGCGATGCTTATACGCGACCCTCAGCGACCATCGCTGGTTACATAGTAGTCATCGTCTTGATAAGCAGTCTCATCCCCCTTTACTACTAGAGCGCTATGGTCACTCGGACCTGTGTCTAAATTAAATTTTAGGATGGTCCGCCCCCTAGCTTCTTCTATTCCGTAACGTGTACTCCGTAGCATTTGCTCATTTAGTCCAAAAGCATCAGCATCGGGGGCATTGGGACCTCCAAATCCACACCACGCTGTCTATGCTGGTCAGCACGGCGGGATGCTCCACCCCCAATACCCTCCAACTCATCTCCAGGGGAGATCGCTATGTTTTGAGGGCCCGATCAACGAGAAGGCGGGCCCCAGAGGAGAATGTTCTGCTCCTCCTCAAGTGGCGCAAGGATTTGCTCCTCAATGGTTCGGGAAAATTCCCTGTTTTCCAGATCCGCTGTAGGGTCCACAAAGCATTTCAGGCAGTGCAAGATTGCTGAGTAGAAAGCAAAAGATATATCCCCTTTGCTTTTCTGTTCCCGAAGCCAACGCCGGGCAGCACTAAGATTAGAGAGCTCACTGGGTTCATTGTTGGGGCCAAGGTCTTCAGCTCGACGCAGGTTCTCAATGGGTTGTCCGCAACAGATTTCAAGGAGCATAGTCCCGAGAGCCAGAAGTTTGGAAGAATCATTCTCAGAAAACACGTTGTGTCGAACGATTTGTATCTTATCGGACTTGTGTTCACATGCTAGATAGGGGTGCTTAACATCAACTGCTACTGCAGAACCGTCTTTTGCTCGGAGAAAGAAGATATCCGCTTTATGCCACGTCTGCTGAAGCCATGGGGTATGACTGAGTTGAAGGAGAGAGGAGGTCAAAGTGATGGACAGGTTGTAGACTTCTTCTTTACTCAACGAACATGTTCTATTGGCAAGTATCTCGTCGAGCCCGACACCGTTCTCGACGTAGGCTACGCTGCGGTCCTGGGCTGGATAAGCGCCTCTGAGATGACCATTGTTGTCTACACAGAAGCCTATCCATGGATGACGGGACTGCTGAAGGACTGAACACAGGTTTGTGACTACTTGAAGTTGAGACGGATCTGCATATGGAAGGGTTACCTTGGGGATGGAAAATGAGGCCGTAGGGGGAGTCGAAACGACGACTTGCACTGTTGAGCTGCGAGTACATTAATTCCTGCGTGAGCAGAATTTCGAAGTTGCTTCTTGATACGGACCTGCTTGATTCCTCAGTAAGGAGAGCTTCTACAATACGAAACTCCACTTCGAGCCACTTCTTAGTGGGAGGTGTTTGCAACAATAAGATTCCGAAGCAGTTAGAATCGCACTTCTCTGATGACTGTCCCCGCTGCCGGCTTGCCATGCCTCTTTTCTTTTTCGTCACCAGACGCTGTTCAAGCAATAGTCCGGCGGAATGCGTGGAGTGAGCAGAGCACCAGGTTCGAGATAATACGTCGTAGAGCCTGGCTGCATTCTGTTGTATCAAGTGGAGTGGAAGGGCAAACTTAGACTTGCGATTCACCTTGTAAGGCTCCTCCAATTTATCTGCCTTTTCCAGATAGGTGTCCAGTTGGTCGATAGATTTTGCCAAATCATCAAGCGATTTTTTGATTCTTTGGCGCTTCATGGTGAAATTGACTCGTTTGCGGAACTCAAACTTGGGGGCCTTGCCATGCTGTATTTCTGGGGGATGGGCTGCAATGATTGCTTCGAGACCTTCCTGGGTAATCTTGTCAGCACCTGTAATGTTGAGATGCTCAGCAATCGACGTCATTGTGCTCTCAATTTCCCGGACTGTCCTTATGTACGCACGGTATGACGTCCCTAGCCTATCTTGAAGCGCTTGCTCTATTTCATTATCTTTCCAAAGCTCGCTGTCGGTATTCTCCATCATGTCATGGAGCTCTTGCGGGTCCGCGATCGGAGTAAGGAGAATCCGTATTGACTGTTCATAGGATGTATAGTAGTTGACAAGCTGTCTCGTAGCTCTGGAAAGCTCGGCGCCGTATTTGAAAAAGGCCTTCGTTGGGTCCAGGAGATTCTCGTAGGTTTCTAGAGCTGATATGACAAGTGGGATTGCCGCGAGTACGACGCCGGCAACCTCGATCCCACTCGCCATTGCTGGTGCAGGGGAAAATAAGGTCACAGATTGGCCATAGAGATGCAGAGCTAAATTAAGCACGGTTCTTGCTACCTAAAAAGCGTGTTAACAGAAATCGTCGATCGATTGGGTGGCGCCTCTTGGTGAGCTCCTCATACACTCCGGGGTTTGTGGAGGTAGATACGGTCTTCTGTTGTGGTAGTGCGCCAAGGCGCCTGCAGCAGATAGCTTGCGGCTGAGCCTGCGCTTCTGTAGAAAATTAACACTCTTTCTACAGGTTATGAGCCCTCATACGCTTCCCTTTTGCGTGGGTAGAGCTGTTCATTCGGCGTAGCAAGCTATTCTAACGAATTCCTTGCTATTAGCCGCCCTATTTCGCTCAAAAATGGTCAACGATCAGACCAATCGAAGTAGATCCAAAATTTCGGAGAAGTCAGAGGAGATGGACGGCACAGCAACGCCGTCAACGCCTACACCGCAGGAGCAGCAACAGCATAGGCCTGGACGCCTGCTTCGGACGCCCCCCCCTATAAGGCCTTATGACCCTGTTACTGCTATAAAGGAGAAGTGGCTAGCAGAGCCTAGTGCTCAGGCTGAAACAGATAAAGAAGCGCCTAAGAGCGCTTATATACAAGAGGAGCCAAGGACCTACCTTACAGGCCCGCCAGCGAGAAGGAGAGACCAGAAAAGAAAGGCAGAGTTAATAGCAGCAGCAGCAAAAGCAGCAGTAGCAAAAGCAGCGGCAGAAGCAAAAGAAGAAGAGGAAGAAGAAGAGGAAGAAGAACAAGAAGAAGATAGAGATGAACTCACTATGAAAGACTTCAAATTTAATATAACTTAGTTTAAGTTTAAAATAGACCTAAAATTGACAGGGGCAGATACATATGTTGCTTAAGAGGAAGAGATAAGAAGGAAAGTAGACAATATAAAGGCTACAGCTGTTCTTAAGGGCTAACAAAAGGCTATTAAGAATACAAAGCTGTAGAGAACAATAGAGAAGATAGTTAAGGAGATAATACTGGACTCAGTGTCAGCATTAACAAAGGCAGAGCTAAAGAAGATGCTACCGTCAGAAGCATTTGAGCTGCTAAGGAAGAGATACTCTTGATCAGGAGCAGCAACATACTGTATAGCTGGGGCTAAGTGGATAACTATTCGCCAAGAGTCCTAGCAGCCTATCAAAGGATATATCAAGAAGTTTGATGCCCTCCGTACAGAAGTAGAGATGGCTGGGGTCAAGATTAACGAAGAAATGGCCATGGTTGTTTTTGTAGCAGGGCTGAAGCAGAACTTTAGCAAGGAGGCCTATGCAGAGCTGCACCGGCAGAAAGAAGAGGTTGACATGGAGACACTGCGCCAAACGCTGGTGCAGTATGCAACATTTGAGAAGACCCAGGGGCAGACGAATAAGGAGAAACAAGTGTATCCGGCAGAAGCAGACCGAGGGTATTCTCAAGAGAGAGGCCTATCTCGAGGTGGATTCGGACGCGGTGGTTATAGACGCGTGCGAGTAATACCGGCGCATATATATACTGGTGCTATCTGTCAGAAATGCCAGGGGCAGCATAGAACAGAGAACTGCTGGCAGCAAGGCCAAGGGCCAAAAGATGATAAAGGAGGTGCAGGCAGAGCTGCGCAGAGTGTGCACTCAACGATCCTGGCAGGGGCAGTCAGCTATGCAGAATGGCTACTTGATTCTGGAGCATCTTGTCATATGGCCAAGGAGAGGCCTCAGGGCCTGAGCTGGGAGGGCCAGGAGAGAGTTATAACAGCCGCGGGCCACACACTGGCGACCTACGGACTAGGGCAGATGAAGATAGGGCCGTTGAGTCTGAAGAACGTTCGATGGGTGCCTGGCCTTGATAGGAGCCTAGGGCTCTGGTGGATGATGGATAGAAGGTTATTATAGAGAAAGGCTGCGCCCTATTGAGCAAGGGCAAGGAGATTCTGCGTGTGGAGAAGAAGAATGGTGTATACCCGTTGTCAGAGAATATGAAGATGAGTATGACAGCAGCAGTGCAGGAGAACAGCAATAGAGCTGCTGAGGTGTCAGCTGAGGAAGCTGCGCCAGCTAGCTTGCCAACAAAGGAGGTGTCAGCCCAAGAGGAGGCTGCGCCAGTGAGTGCTCTGAAGAAGGCGCCACAGAGAGGTGCGGGCGGCAAATGGCTGCAGGAGAGTCTGCTCCATAAGAGGATGGGGCATTTAAACAGAGAGTATGTGAGGATGCTGCCGAAGTCAGCCAGATATTCTGGCGAAACAGAAGAGAAGGCCGAACAGAGGGCCTGCTTCTGTAGAAAATTAACACTCTTTCTACATCTTCAGACGCGCTGCTGTTCACAATGGGTGTGGCTACGCAATAGTAGACCTCTTGCGTTCCCTCATTCCCGCTGAAAATCACTAGAATTCCATAAAGTCAGTCAGGAGAGTCCTCCAAAACTCCTCATTTAAGCTGTTGCATAAGTATTTATGCGACCGGTCAAGCACCTCACTTCAGCCGCAGCTCTGATGCATAACCTAACGAGTTTATCCAGACGCGTAAGTATAATATCCACAGCTTGGAGCTTAAATCGCGCTTCCTCTACAACCTTGTTCTCCCGTTGCATTTGGTCACAGCTATGAATCCAATATCTGCCGCCACGGCCGCCTGCCTGCAGAGCTTCCCACAGTTAGCGGCCGCGCTGCAAGATCCAGAACATTGCCAGACAATGCCACGGGAAAGGCTTAAAGGAGAACTTGACCGGTTTAAGATCTGGTGTGGGAATCTAGGAGCTCTACAAACTGGAAGGAGCTCGCTAGACTTTCGACTTCGAGACTCGACAGTGGTACGGACAAATGTGCTCAAGTTGCTGGATAGGTTGCAGCAGATGTTGTCAATGAGTGAGTCTCGTTCAATTGAAGGAGTCTAATCTCCATTGGACTCTTGACAAGTCATTATAGCCCTTTTAGATTTGAGATCAGACGTACGGAGCCGCTTAGTTCCTTTTGCTCTACAATATGGTAGCAGCCAACCTAATCTTTACTCGCTAAGGATTGAAGCAGGCATTGAAGTTGCAACTGGAGCTCGGTTACCTTTCGAGAAATTGCCCAAACCGGAAGACTCTGACACTCCTAACAAGGCAAGTGAAGAAGAAGAGGAAGAGGAAGAGCCTCCAACGGAACTTGGACTTCATATGACTATGATAACGGAAATCCTAGGTGATCTTTATAAACTTTCTTTCAGAATCCGAAACTCTGCTACGAGGCTTAGATCTTTAAAGCCATCGCTTTACAAGGAAGTTGATGAAGAGACTGGCGTTGACAAATTTGCAACATATGCTGATTTTGATAAACGGCATGTCAACGAATCAGTCATTCAGCTCCGAAAAGAAGCTGCCGAAAGAATGGACATGGACCCTTCCAGAGCTGCTAAGTCACTGGGAGAGGACACATTTATAATTGACCGCCTGGCAACGACGCTCACAGAGCGTCGAAAAATTCTTCGATACTGGCAAAGACATGCGAAGAAGCTTAAAACCGGACCCATTCAGACTTCTTCTGCGGCTGGACCAAATGACAAGGGGCAAACGCTGGACACACAGGGATTGATCGAAGGCTCCCAGCGAGTTAAAATTACACCAGCACCTAGTGTCACGGCGAAAACGATTCTCTCCGAGACGATTGCGACCGAATATGATCGAAAACTGGACAACATGCTTGACACACGATCTGCCATGTCGTACGCTTCTACTTCATACGATGTGCAGGAGAATGCTGTAGAGCTTCCATCTCCGCCCACTATCGCTTCTGAGCAAACGGAGTTTCTGTGTCCGTATTGCAGCATTGTATACCCCTCTCGCCACGCCAAGCCTCGTGCTTGGAGAGCCCATGTTCTTCAGGACCTTCAGCCTTATGTTTGCACCTACCCTGACTGCCGTGATGGACTGCAGTTGTATAATACCCGACATGCATGGCTTGAGCATGAAAGATTAGTGCATCGTCGAGTATGGCAGTGTTTTAAACATAAAACGGTTGTCTTCCGGTCGAAATTCGACCTGCGCCGCCATCTGGAATCGCAGCACAACGACGATGTCACCGAGGCTCAGGTCCAAGACCTTCTCGACGTTTCCGAATCAAGTCTTGCAGATGCACGAGAGAAATGTCCCATTTGCCTAATCGATAGACAATTTATTGAACCGCTGGATGAACACATGTCCTCCCACCTAGAGAAACTTGCAACGTTCTCGGCTTCTAGAGGTATTCCAACTAGCGATGAAGAGGACAGCTCTGGAGCTGACGACCTGTCTGGAAAAGCCCAAGGTCTAAGATCGGTATATTCCGCTTTTTCAGGAATCCTAGACTTTGAAAGCCCCGCAGAATCAACCGCCGGTCCCGTGGATAACGAGATACCAAGTAAGGCGCCTTCGTTAAGTGATGACAAGGAGCCAATGCTTAGCTTAGAGCATCCTGATACGCTAGCCGGCATAGCTAGACTTGCATCGACGTATAGAAATCAAGGAGAATGGAAGGAGGCCGAAGAGCTAGAAATACAAGTATTAGGGATGAGGATGAGGATGCTGGGAAAAGAAAATCCAGACACGCTGACCAGCATGACGAATCTGGCGGTAATATATAAGGCTCAAGGACGATGGAAGGAGGCTGAAGAGTTACAAATGCAAGTATTAGACACGAGGAAGAGAGTGCTAGAAAAGGAGCATCCAGATACGCTGACCAGCATGACGCATCTGGCGTTAATTTAAGGCTCAAGGACGATGGAAGGAGACCGAAGAGCTACCAATACAAGTATTAGAGACGAGGAAGGAAATGCTAGGACAAGTCATCCAGATACGCTGACCAGTGACCAACTTAGCAATTCTGTATAAGAATCAAGGGGCTGTGGAAGGAGGCTGAAGAGCTGAGTATACAAGTGATGGAATTGAGAAAGATGGTGCTTGGGCCAGAGCATCCACACTCGCATATGAATCATCTTGCGATCGTTTAGAAGTCTCAAGGCGCGACACTAAAGCCTTGGAATTAATGAATGAATGCTTCTTACCACAGTAAAAGGTGTTAGGTGCAGATCAAGGCTCTAGTTGTATTAAACATAATACACCAGCGAATACAGAGTACTATCGATATTGGTGTCTTCTGTCAGACCTTTTTAAAATACGAAGATCCTAGCTCAGAGCTTACATCACCTATGCCTCCGACCGTAATAAAAGCTCGCTGCCCGAAAAGACTCTCCTAGGATGCACGTTCTACTGTTTGCTGCACTGAATCTCAAGTGGAAACGGAACAATCTTCCATCGTGAAGTCACCTCACCTCAATAAAAAGATATAGTCCAGCCTCTCCTTCCATCGTCCTGAGTTGGAGAAAAATTCATATCCTCGCGGGATTGTTGACCAATCACGATGATGGATGGAAGCGTGAAAAGCCAGGATCCATGCCGACTCGCCACCGTATAAATACTATACGGTAATGCCGAGCCTATCTCGGCCAACCAGAATGAACAGCTGACCTTGATATGGCCTAGAGTTCGTCACTATTCGCTCTCAGAGTAAGGCAAGTTACTACACCATCGTGGATTTCTGCGATCGGAGAGTGAAAAGAGGTGTCACATAGTCCGTGGGGAAGGGACTATCGAAATGCCATTGCCATGAATGATTTGATTAATGTTCCATGATTGGTCTATTGAAAATGGTTCATTTTAGCTACGTCTTTTGGACGAGAGTTCGCCACGTCGTCACTAACACTAACGAGGAGAAAAGCTTCCCTTCTCTATTCGAGCTTCTGCCTCCCTGATGGACTTCATGAGCACATCGTCTAGATCCCTATGGCGTTCTTCGTCTCTGCGTTCTTCGTTTCTCTGATCTGACAATGGTGTAACGTGGGGTTTCGTCGGTGACCTTGGCTTCTGGAATCGGGGTTTCAGATCCTCGACGTTCCTTCGGGATTTCAGTGGACGTTCCCTCTTGAGGTGTTCCAGCAGGTCTTTGCTGGGGTCGTCTTCTTGTTGCTGCTTATTTGACAACTCGGCGTGCCCGCTTTGTGATGGTGCAACAAGAGTATTCGATGGCCCACTACTGGGTTCCCTATGTGGCAGTGACTGTGACGATGCGAGTCCATGATTGAATGCTGCACCGCGTCTTCTTGGTGGAGGTGCCATGTTACTTTGTAATCTGGCCCATGCATTTTTTTTGCATAATTCACATCGCTCCCCTCGTTGTACGTCTCGGCCACACTCTTCACAGCGTTCAGACTGAGCTTCCTTTGGAGGCCCCGGAATCCTTGATGGTCTGCACTGAGGAGCGTGTAGGGTCTGGTCAGTGGATGCAGTAGCTGTGTTGGCTGTCCTAGAATCACGTTCGAGGGTAGAGGTGGCCCAGTGCTGTTTGCTGGCCTTGAAGTTTGGGCCCCTTCCAAAGAGTGGCATGACCAGGTAAATACTTTGTTCTGCTTTGTCTTAGATTTCAATTACAGGGTCCCCCAAAGTGGACCTGTCAGCAAGATTTATACTTTTCGTATCAAGGTCTACCTTGCAGACCGTTGTCTGCAATGTGCAGGCACTAAACTGACTTTTAGGGGGCCGTTTCGTTCCTGAATGGTGTCACACAAAAAGTAGCAACAGGGAAACACAACTAAGAGATCCACCGCATGCATAAATTTTCACTTCCCCAATTATTGCCCAAACTTTGAAACGCATTATGTTGTCCTCCTGATGCAGCGGTATGGCGCAGGCGGGCTAAGCATGTCCAAGCATGTTTCACACATACCCTACTTAGCAGGAAGAGGCCCTCTTAAAATA